TGCTGGTGATTTTCAATTTCTATGCTTGACAGCTTGAGCTAACTACTTCGAGNTCTTTTCCATCCTGGCAGTATTTTGGGGTGCTCTTGAATATCAAACAAAGGTCATCATGCCTTGGAAGCTGATAGCAGGTTGCCCACAGACCGCTGAAAACAGTTTGCTGCTGGACTATGTCTCGCCAAACACAATCTTAGTGCTCTGGAGATCTATGCGAGCGAATCATTGGCCTGTCATGGTATCGACACTGGGATCTCAACTGATTATCTTGGCCACGATCGTATCTACTGGTTTATTCGTATTGGAGCCAACGCTAGTCCACCAAAACGAAGTCATGATGGCCGTTAGGAGATTCGACCTCAATCCCGAGATCACCATTGCCAACGCTCTACCAGTACTGATTGTAGAGGGCGTCATGTCTGAAAGCATTTGGAAAGGCTATCCGCCGCACACAAACGAGTTGATCGCAATAGAACCATTTGCACCTGTTCAAGAGTTACCTGGTGAGTGTAGCTAGACTATCGTTTGCACGGTTCTCAAAGTAGATGAGGCTACCTGGAGGTCACGAGGATTGAGACTGAACCTAACAGAAACGTATGCATTACCGGAGGCTGACTTTGATTCAGGGTCTGAAGTCTCCAAGACTGCCAACGTCAACGTGTTTTCTGCGGATCTAGATTGTCACATCGGCTACGTTGCAAATGCCACGATGCGTGTCACGATAAGCGGATGGAGTTTGAAAGCCAGTCTGTCGGACTCCGAATGCACCACAGATTTGATCAACATTGGGTCTCGTTTTGACGACAGCTCCGATCACAACGTAGACCCAGCTCGGCAAAGACTGGGCGCTGCAACGATACAGAGATGTCCACAAGCTGGTAATGCCGATCTAGGGTATCTGGTCCTGACATTCACTCAAGTCACGCTGCCGAAGAACCTCCACTTTGGCAACAAGGGGGATGCAATCATGCTGCCTATGAATTCGTTCGAGCTCAACTCGACTGTGCTTTTCTGCCAACCCACGGGCAAGTTGCAGAAGGCTCTGGTGACCACCGATCCGTCCGACTCCATTGGTGAAGTGATCAATGGAAACACTTCCGCACCTCTAGGAGTCTCCTCTTGGGATATGGCGTTAGCATTCAACAGCTCGGTTCTTGATGCCGCCAAAACTATCTCAACCGCAACTGACATGTATGCTTATGACACATACTTTAGGATCTTACAAGAGATTGATCTTGCAGATCCAGTGAGATACCTGGATTCTCGAGTGCTAGAAGCAGAATCTCGGCGCCTGTTCACTGCCGTGTGGGCCCAGATCGCTAATCAGCACTTGCTAACGAGTTCGTCTCAGCAAGTTGCGGGCATCTATCGAGCGAATCAGCTCCGTCTTCTCATTCGTGAAGTGACATCCGACGTCTTGGAGGCGATTATAGCTACCATTCTGGTTTGTGCGATTGTCCTATTGTTCATCCGACCGCTAGTAGTGGATCTGGCAGAAATGCCATCTTTAGGTCGTGTGGCTGCCATACTCGTTCGAAGTAAGGATATAATGAGCACGCTGAAGCACACTGGAGGTCGCCCTGCCAAAGATTTGGAGCGCTTACTATCCGGTCAGCGATGTCATTTAGCCTCACAGCTTGACGGTAGCGTGGCCGTGATCAGTGACCCGGGACCGCCCCCTATTCCTAGCTTACCGGATAGCACTACCACTTGGTGGAGGCCCATGGCTCTGTCAGCGTGGATGCGAATTCTTCTCCTGGTCCTTCCCTTGGCAGCCATCATTGCCCTAGAAGTCACTTTCCATCTATCAGAGAAACATCACGGACTAGGCGACATCACCATGAGTGGCTATGAACACTACGTATGGACCATCATACCTGCGGTCATCCTGACATCAATCAAACTCCTTGGACAGTCTCTAGCTTTTTCCATCGAAGCCCTGGATCCATATCTGGTCCTAAAAGCAGGTACCAGCACTGCGAAACAGACTCTGTTCCACGACTACCTTGCCCAGACGTCACTTTTCAGATGTTTCAGCAGTACCCGATCCAGTCGATGGGCAGTGTTGAGCGTTTCGGTGTCCACTTTGTTCAGTCCATTTCTCACTATAGTCGTTAGTGGTCTTTTCAACGAACAGCCCGTACCACGATACCGAACACTAGACACCCATGCAGTGGAACAACTGACCAATTTTGAGGCCCGAAGCTTTCGCCGTGACGGTGAGCCTCCTAAATATCTCGATTGCTCATTCGACGTATGGGATCAGGCTACGCTCAATTCCGCCAATCTGTTGGTGCAACAAGCGATTCCTTACCCGGGTGGAACCTTTGAAAACTACATGTTCCCACAGGTGGAAGACCTGTGGAATTTGTTCGATGTGTCGTCCAGTTCGATGATTACACCTGGCTACCAACCACATACTGTAAGTTTCAGCAGCCAATAGATCGGTCATTGTGAGAGGCATAGAAATCATTGTGTCTGTTCATCTAGGATGGCACTCCACGCGGTCTATGTCATGTCTTCTTCGGATCTATGCTGATCAATTCCACAGGTTTGTCAAGCTATGGAGCCATCTGGTTTCCAGTACACATTGCGTAACGATGGATGCAATATTGGCGGAGAGGCGTGGCGAATGCCAGATCCAAGCTCGGTTTACCTCAACTTTACACATCCTGATCTCACAGGTTGTGATTGTTCCTCGCCACAGTACACGACTGAGTACGAGTCCTGCACACCAGGTCTGCTTTCTCTTGGTTTCGCCATTGACACGAACAATACTCTGTTCTCCAAAACACTAGATATTGGGTTAGACCTCGTCGCGGCTGGCTTTATGGACCCTAAAGGGTGGGCAAATTCTTCTTCCTTGGCCCATTCGAATCATCAGTGTCCTAATTTGACATTGATCTATGGTGATTGGGATCAACGGTCTAACACGTTACTGAACATGGGAGGTGTTGCTTGTTATTATAACATGGAAAAGGCGCAACTCAACATCTCCTATGCACTTCCACAGCTGTCGGTCACTGGAGTTGTTCCTACAAAGACCTCACCTGTACAAGGGGATCCTAGCTGCTGGCCTTTTATGAGTCAAAGCATCAACAACTTTCTTGCAAACGGTCCATCTGAGCCATATGATAGTCTGTTCATGGCTGCATTGAATGGAAGCGACAGACAAGACTTCTTCAAACCTTCCAATGCTGCCACATTGGCAGACCGAGTGAGCCACATTTACGATACTTTTCTGACCCAGTACTTCAGTTCCAACATGCGCAACACCAATTTTACAGACGGACCGCCTCAGGTGCCGGTGACTCTTGTCGACGAAAACCGTCAACGCCTGTTCCAGAGTCGAATATCCACAAGCATTTTGGAGGGACTCCTCGGCATCATCTGGGTGTGCACAGTCATTGCTCTTGTTCTCTTTGACAGCAAAGAGCTGCTTCCCAAAGACCCATGCAGTATCGCAGCTCAAGCCAGTCTTTTTGCCGACTCTGAATTCTTGGATCTGATACCCGCTGGAGCCGAACGGCTGTCTGACAAGGAGCTTGCCGAGACGACCCCTTTCAAAGACCATCTTTTCAGCATGGGATGGTGGGAAAAGGAAAATGAAGGGCAAAGGACGTTCGGGATTGATATCGGGCAAGCTGTGTCAGTTGGCCAGAGCAACCAGCGATGGATGTGGTTCAAGAGATTTTTGGGCATGTGAAGAGTCAAACCGGGGCAGTTCGCCATTAAACTCAGGGGCGAAGGTGACGATGAGCAGGTGTTTGCATCGAGTGTCCATCAGTAAACCTTGACAGACTACAGCAAGATCTGGTGGAAGCTGAATCACAGAAAGAGACTTATATCTACACCTTTTGTCTTTCTTGTTTTATGTTTATGTTTCTCTGAATGCGGATATAGCTAATTGTCGGATAGTCTGAGCTGCGGTCCCTGCAAAGTCGTTCCAAGCTTGTGTTTCTCCGAGATGTGCGATGCAGCCCGTGATGTGGGCTTTCCAATCCATCCCAGGAGGTATAGCGGTGGAGGGGCCTTGACTGACTTCACGTGTAATCACATAGGCAGCTTTGAGCAAACTCATGGAATAGAACCTGCAGCGCACAAAGATTAGCACAGATCGTCAAATCTTGGAGCATCGTTTGAAATCGGTTACTGACCAGTGCCGACGGTAGAACTTTGGTATGCTCCAGTTCATGTCTATCGACGTTATGTCACATGCTGTCTGTAGACACATTGATCTTGCCCGATTGAACTCGTTTGGCTGGCTTCGCCAATTAGATTCCCAGCAGAGAGTATATTGAGAGGCGATGTGTGAGGTGAGTCAAAGTTACTCTGACACGCTGCCAGTGTACCCAAGGGTGTTTTGCCTCGAACTCGGTAACAATAGCATCTCGTGCCGAGCTTCCTGGCCTGAGATACTCTACATGGTGTTGCTCGATCGCGCTTGACTTTACGAGACTGACAGATGCTGCAAGGTCTTGGCCATCGTTGTCTTTGGGCCTACTCGGATTTTTCTTCTGTTCCAGCCTTTTCTGCGTATTCTTCCAGCCCTTCGAGCATCCCGATTGATCTTGTGAGTAGTTGTGTTGTGGGACTGGACAAAGTGCAGGGCCCGCCATTGAAGCGAGCTTGACCGAGCTATTCAACTTGATAAACGACGCAAGGGAGTGTCTTATTCGGAGTCTTTCAACACTGCCACGATCGTGTATTAGACAAGCTACACACTACATGGAGATTATCGTGAGTTGCTGGATTTTCTCCGTTGGGACCAGGTCTCCAAAACATCCTTCTGTACTATTTTGCTGGAGAAGGTGTGAAAGTTTGACAGTTTGGAGCGTAAGCGTTCATAAAGCTGGATCTTGACGTTGTCCAACAGGCCTCTTCCTTGCTTGCTCCGGCTTTGCTTGCAATATCTTTGCAACACGATATATGATGTTTTTGTTTCTAAAAGTCTCTTAAAGTAGACTAGGTATACTCTCCGACAACCCCAAATGTACGCATAGCTACAACTTCGCTAGTGGCGACCTCGTCTTCTGTTCTACCCATGTGGTGATCCTTGCTACCAACGCCTCGACTTCCGCCCTCGTATTACCAGCATGTAAGCATACGCGAATTCGTTCGGAGCCTAGCGGGACAGTTGGCGGTACGATAGGTCTAACCAAGAAGTTCTTCTCCTGGCAGAATTTGGCCAGACCACGAGGGTCTGAACTAAGCACCGAGAATATTGGTGATGGTGGGCACTCTTCAAGAACTTGGAGAAGGTGACGTTGATATGATGGTAGACTCGAGGTGAGAGCAAACAGTCTTTCGTGTAACAGGCTGATCAGGTCGAAGAGATGTGTAGCAAGTGCAGTACTGTTGTTGTTCCACAGGAACGTGTATGCAGCTCTGACAGCAGCAAGCGCTGGGAAAGACAAGAAGGTCGTGTAGATCAGTGGTCGTGCGTAGTTGACCAGGTAATGCTTGATCAACGGACTGCAGAGTATGATAGCTNNATATTCGTTTGTCAGACATGGCAGCAATACGTGCAACCGATCAGGGAAAGACTTACCACCATTACAAGCCATTGCCTTGCCGAAAGTATGCAAACGAATGGTGATCTTGTCCTCTAGCCCAAGCGCTGAGACCAAGCCTCTCCCTTGTGGACCCAGAACACCTGTAGAGTGTGCCTCGTCCACGATGATATGTCCATTACCGTTGGGCAGCAACTCGGTCACTGACTCAACGATCTCCCTTAGTGGTGCGACATCGCCATCCATGCTGTAGATTGCCTCGACAGCAATGAAAATGCTTCGTCGACCAGATCTGAACTTCTCATCAGAGTTGATACACCTCTCCAACACAGCTCGCAAATCCTTGATAGAGTTGTGCATGAAAGCAAAGTTTGCCCCAGCACGACTTGCTCTCATGCCATCGTGCACACTTGCGTGGATGTAGCTGTCATACACCACAATGTCTCCAGGTTGCGGTAGAACCGAGAATAAACCTGCATTGGCATCAAAGCCAGAGTTGCATAGTAAACCGTCCTCTGCACCGTGGAAAGCTGCAATATCTTTCTCCAATGCTTCCGCATATTTGCTGTTGCCATCGAGAAGTCTTGAGCCGCCACTACCTAGAGGGAAGTCGGGGCGAGCGGCTAGTTCGCCAAGATAGAGTTCCCGGAGAGTAGAAGAGGTTGACAAAGAGAGAAAATCGTTTGAGCTGAAGTCGATGGCATTGGCAGTAGGGAGAGTCAAGTTGCGAAGTGTTGAAGCTTGTCGACGCCGCGACAAAGCAAGGGCTAGGCTTTTNTCTAGGTGCGATGGCTGCGAGTGTATACCAGAAGGTAGGCGTTGTTTTATTTTCTTTCCCATATCCATCGTCAGTCACGGCCGTATTCAGTATATTAGATGATCCAATCGGTCGAATGTCGATGATTTTCCTGGTGGCTTCCTTGGATAGAGACGTTCTTGAGCTCGGCTGCAAACACGACAAAGAATGGAAGTACACCCCAACACCAGATCGTATGATTCAAGGAAAGAAGGTGAATGTCGTTAGCTCGATCATGCTGATGGTCACTTTTGTAAAAACGATGAGTCGTGTGTGCCCTCATCCACAAAAGTGTCGGGGTCGAGGCTCGAGCAGGCCTCGGCCCGATCGACGTTGTGGCTTCCCCGAAGACGGCACCCCGAATTCTCCGAGACTTGTTCCTTCCTTCCTTCCTTCCACACAAAAGTGTTCATGTTGAGCAAACACAGAGTGTGTTTTTGTTCTCTTGCTTTAAAGATCACTTATCTACCACCAAAGGCAACACTTACGAGACTTCTCTGGCCCCTCTTCTCGTCCTTCTCAATACCAGTCCTGCTCCTCCTATGCACCGGCAAACTAACAGCACTACGTCTACTGCTCTTCGAAGGCTTAACGGTAGCATCGCTGCCTGCCTCTGAGTGCCTACTTGACCGTCTCGAACCTTCACCATGTAATGACCTTTGTCTATTCTTCTTGCTTGAACTCGATTTCCTGGACTCGCGGTCGTGACTGCGTTCGCGATGACGAGACTCATCACGTTCGTGTCGAGTATAACGAGATGCAACGCAGGAAATACTATCATCTGGAGCTACGGTCTCAAGATCATCGATTCGAGGTATCAGATCGACATTGAGCAGACTGCCTACGATACTGGTCTTGCGTGACTCTGGCAATGGTATACCAGCTGCCGACGTTCCTTCCTCTACTGGCGCTTGGCGTCCGAGAATACCGCCAATGATACTTCCTGTTCGAGACTCTGGAAGCGCGATCTGGTGAGCCGATATCGTTGAGGTAGCTCTGGACATTGGTAGCGGCCTCTCCATAGCTGAAACTAGAGATGGTCTCCTGGGGCCTGGCAGAGGTAGAGCTGCACCCGACACAATGGATGTCTTTCTTGAAACAGGCAAGGCGTGCTCTGCGGCAGAAACTACGGACGTCTTTCTTGAAGCCGGTAATGGCAATTCTGCTGCTGACACGACCGATGTCTTGCGAGATTCTGGCAGTGGTATGCCGGCAGCAGAGTAATGCCGTGACCCGTTGACCTGACTCGCTTTGATGGTGCTCGTATCAGAACCACCATACGGCGACAGTTCTCTGTGTGTACTAGATCGATGATTGGAAGATCTCTTCGATGCCGTTGAACAATGGCTAGACAAATCGCGATATCTGCTTGATCGATTTGGAGAGCCTGCCCGATGTTCGCTTCGACGGCTTCCGATGGACAAGTCTCGATGCCTGCTAGAGCGATGAGAGTGTCTACTGAGTCGGTCAGGAGAGATGTCTTTTCGCTCGCTGTGGTGGCTTCTGGAAGTGTCTCTGTGAGCGTGTCTGCTATGCTTGCTCTTGCTCGAATGTGTTGAGTACATGCTCATCGCACTGTCTCGGCGGGCAATCGCAAGATCTTGTGACGGCCATTCTTGAGCTTTTGCTGGGACGTCCGCAATCTGACGATCTGTGTTACAAACAGATGGAGGCGATGTCACCGCCCGACGAGACATGATTGATGGTCGCTGGCTGACCATGGCCGGTATGTATTCAATCTGCCTCTCTTTGGGTGCTATGGATGGTGGACCTGAAGGGGATCGTGACGCAGTCTGAGTTACAACTCGCAACGGTGGTAAGTAGAGCACCTCCGACTTCTCGTGTTTCTTGTTAGTCCTTGAGGTGGGTGCTAGAGAGACATAGGTAGGGCTGTGGCAGCTCTTTGTGTCGATTGTCCGAGGCTCAGGAGCCGCTTCTAATGCTTTCACGGAGCGTGTCTTGTGTGATCGAACAGGGTCCTCGAACTCAACATCGCTGAACTGTTCCATCACTCTAGACGCAACCACAGAATCCGTAGTACTATAGTTGCGATGCACTCTCGTCCTCGGCCGAGAAGTCATGTTCTCAACGGGTTGTTCGAGAATTTTGCTCGTCTGTGCTGTCTTGCTCACTGTCGCGGAGCTCAATACAGTCTTTGCCTTGCTAGTTTGAGCTTGACTCGGAGCAATCTTGCTAGGTGTCTCACTGGATGTTCTGCTAGACGCAGCTTTTCCACTAATTGCCTCAGCGAAGTCTGCTTCTTGTTGCGCGCTGTCTTGTTCGCTCTTTATCATGGCGTAAGCAACTGCTGCGCCAGCTGCAGCACCGAGGATAGTCCCTATGATGGCTTTGCCAGTTATCTGGAATCCAGATTCGGAGGTTCCAGGTGAGATGGTGGGCATCGATGCGGTCCTGGTGACACCCGATGCTTTGGAACGAGGTGTTGATTCGGTGATGCTTGTCGTGGACATCTTTTCAGTATCAGGCTGGCTTCTTCGTGCCGACACAAAGGTAGTCCTATCCTCATCGCCCAGAACGTTTACAATGCCTCTTCTCCATGTCAGGACACGGCTACCTCCTGAGACAGTGGTGTATGCATCGTCTTCTTCGAGTTGATGGTAGATAACCTCAATGCTGTTTCCATCGAGGTCGAGCACTGCAGCATTAAAGATACAGTCGTTACAGCCTCTGAAGGCAGGTGCACCGTTCGGCTGACCGCCAGCGGTAAGTGCAGCCGCGTAGAAGTCTCTCACCGCCAATTTGCTGGTCGCGGAAAATGCCACATGTGCGTTACTACGAGGGATNACTGTGACAATCTTTAGCAGTCCGGCTGTGATGGGTCACCATACTCAAGCAAAGTCTTACCCAGGTACTTCAGGACTCAAGAAGAAGTCTGCATCGTCGGTGCCAAAGCCCACAGAATCGCCTTGATTGCCGATGTATCTGTAATCGAGAGGTTGGAGTGCTGAGAGGAAGAAAGAGCACGCAGAAGGTACGTGAGAAACAATCAAGCCGACGTGTGATACGGGCATGGCAGGCTTTACACAAGGAATGACCAAAGAAGAATACAGAGACGAGGACAGGGATTTATCAAAGATCCAGTGCATGTCAACCAGTCCCACAAGCACTACTTACATGATTAATTGGTCAAGCTGTCATATCGACTCGATCATGGACACGTTGAGTTCGCGTCCAGACTACTGCACGTCCTATATATGCTGCGGCTGAAAATGTCTTGTTCCTGCGGCCGAAAGATGCGCCTCGGGTACGGTGGACAGCAAAGCAGACGAGTCAAAGAGAGTAGGCGGGTCCGGCCGGGAAGTGATCCCCAGCGCCAATGGGACCCTGGGCTCGATCGCCTATATAATCTACCGTCTGTGCGGCGGCAGATCAGGAGCGGTATGCGCATGGTGAACGTGCCACGTACAAAGTGCGCGCTCCATCATGCAAGCTAAATACGACGACAGACTATCACCCGGCAAATCCCCTGGTTGGTGGAGTTTTGCCGACCAGCCAAGGACATCCGACGACACCCGTCCACAGAGAAATGGTCAAGTGGCTAGATGCTTGCGATAGTGTGTCAGTGTCACGCGTAAGCGGTCAAATCACAAATGAGAGAAGTACTTGAGAGCAACGGGGAGGTTTCTGGACGAGGTGATGACAGAAGCTTCTTTTATTTGTTGACTCTCTTGGTCAAATCGGAGCGCGTGCATTTGACAACCCACCGGACTCCTGTTGACTATCCAAAACATAGATCCTGCGTACAAGTGTTTCTTGGCTGCGCCAATAGACCCAGCGCTATGAAAGAACTGACGGCAAGCGATTGGCACATGAAGGCCGTAGAGGCCAACGAAGGTGTGATAATGGCCGTCCAGCGAAAGCGCAATGCGTGCGCTGGTGATGAACCCCTTCTATGTCGTGCTGTATAGGCGGCGTTTCTCGGGGTCGTTTTTGGTATGTATTTGATAATATCCTAGGGATGGTCGTTGGGAATCTAAATGACGTCCCAGACTTCTTCGGCAGCGTGGCAGAATCTGCTGCAGGCAACACTGGCACTCAAGCTGAAGTTGCTAATACTGATCGAGTCGTCCTTGAACTCGTCGGCGAAAGTGTCGTTACCCTTGGCCATTGCACCGACGAAGACGCAGATGCTCTCCTTGGGCTTGAGATCGGCAATGTAGTCGCTCACACGAACGACGGAAGCGTCGAAACTCAAAGTGACCTTGCGACAGTTGGGAGGAAGGTGATCGGTGATGGGGTTCTTGATGACCTTCAACAGCTTCTCCTGCGATGTTGTAGAACGGATGGACAGTCTGTGGAGGAGCTGAACCATCAAACCGGCGAAACGTTTAAAGGTACGGGGGATGCGGACTGTGGGGCTGACTTCGATCAAGACACCCTTGGCTGTGTGAATGTAGATTTGGAGTTTGCCGGCCTTGTTGAGAGGCGAGTCGAGCAGGGTAAGGAGACACTGCNNGCATTGGTTAGGGGAGGGAAGCGACGAAAAGAGAAAAAAGTCGGCTACCTGGTGGGTGATGTCGGGACGGGCATCCGAGATGTCGCGGTTCATCTTGCGCATGACACCAATGTGCTCGTCGCTGTTGAGCAGCGAGTACTTGTCGTCCTTGGCACCACCGCGGCCACCCGACGAGGCCTTGTAGGTCTCGAGACTAGCATTGGAGAGCACGACAATGAGACGCTGTGAGTCCTTGTCGCTCGAAGGAATGGGAACGTGCTGCTCGGCTACGAGCTGAGGCAGAGAAGGAGGTGGGAGACTCTGGGTGCCTTGAGGTTCAGATTTGATGTCAGCCATGGCGAGGTTCTTGTTGGAAGAACTTCTCGAGGAAACACTGTGTGACGGTTGAGCAGCAACAAGTGTGCGTGTTGGAAGGGGACGGTGCAGGTGGAGGTAGGGAGTTGCGCGGGCGTGTGTTGATGGTTGCGGTTGTTGCTGCGATGGGAGGAGTTGCAAAAGCAGTGACTGACGCTGTCTCTTTGATTCACGGCCCTCGAACGAAGAGCGTCTGCGAATTGCCGAACTGGAGTCCTCGCTGCCTTCGGCATGCTCCTGTCCGGCGATCGTCTGCTCTTCCTTGATCATGTCGCTCATTTTGTCTAAGAAACGCTTTACGCTTCGTTGCTTTTGGTGAGTTTTTGCAAACGCTTTCGGTGTCTTTTTCCCAAAAATGGCTCGAGATGGCTGGAAAATATTTTCTCAGTCTATCGCTTCCAAGCGCGCTGCGACACTCGAGTCACGTGCAATAGCCTCGTCGCCCTCGCATCCGCACCTTCCTCATGCGACATTATCCACCGCACCGAGTCCTATTATAGTGCAGTCCCACCAACCAGCGTGCTACATCCCTCACCTCTCACTTTGATCTCACCGGTCAACTCGCCGTAGGGCGTGATGCTGGGTATTACCGTATTACCTTTCTCACATCAGCGCCTGGGTCTGAAAAGGCCAAGAGTTCGTTGAAGGCACAAAAAGCCCTAGCTCAGTGATCTTGCACAAAGAATCGCATAAAATCGTTGACGCTCTGTGACGGCGTGATTGGTATGTCACGACTCGCAAGAGCACACAGTCCTACCCCAGCGTGCCCAGGCCTAATAGCGCCGACAAAGAGTCATCGTCTGAATGGATTGTCACTCGGTCTTCGCTCTCTCGAATGCACGAGACGAGTTGGATTTCCAAGCAACCATCCATTTACCACCTTGTTCACCTTGATGCGTTTTGAGATTAGCTCCGTTGTATGAGGTGATAAATTTTTCTTCCCCTCCGTCCATCTGTTACTCTCTTCTCCGACTGCGGGAGAACACAAGTAGAAAAAAAGTCAATTGCACTGACGAAACTCTCGTCGGTTGTCTGTTGAGACGACGAGCATACCTACCAACATGGACGACAACGAAAGTCAACTAAAAGAACGCAAAGCCGTCTCTGCTGGCACCTCGACCCAGCGACTGGAAATCGACCCTGCCACCGAAAAGAGACTGGTTCGCAAACTTGACCTTTCCATCATCCCACCAGTCACACTGCTATACTTGTTCAGTTTTCTGGATCGTGTCAACATAGGAAATGCTCGTCTTTACGGCCTGGAAGAGGACCTCAACCTATCATCTGATCAATACCAGACCGCAGTGTCATTGTTGTTCGTCACATACCTTCTCTTCGAGGTGCCTTCAAACATCATTCTTAAACACTATTGCCGACCTTCCAGATGGATAGCCTTTATTTCTGTATGCTGGGGGATTATTGCGACTTTGACTGGTATCGTGCAATCCTTTGGAGGCCTCATTGCTTGTAGGCTGCTTCTAGGACTCTTCGAATCGGGTCTGTTTCCCGGACTGGCAGTATATCTTTCATTCTTCTACACCAAGAGAGAAATTGGACTTCGAATTGGCTACCTCTTCGTCAGCGCAGCTTTGGCTGGCGCATTCGGAGGTCTGCTGGCTTATGGTATCGGGCATATGGACGGAGTTGCCGGTCAGAGCGGATGGCGCTGGATCTTCATCCTCGAAGGCATACCAACCTTTGTTCTCGGTATCGCATGTTGGTGGTGGCTAGCTGACGGCCCTGAAACTGCCTGGTTCCTTACCGAAGAGGAAAAGAAAATCATGGAGATCCGCCGCTTACAGCAAATCGGTGTGACTGACGAGTTTGCCTGGCAAGACGTACGTGCCGGACTCAAAGACTGGAAAATGTGGGCATTCTGCTGTGCTTTGTTCGGTGCCGACACCATGCTCTACGGCTATTCGACATTCCTGCCAACCATCATCAAGAACATCGACCCCTCGTATTCGAGCGCTTTGGTTCAAGTCCTCACCATTCCTTGCTATGCAGTCGGCGCCATCAGCTATCTGATCATGGCACGCATCTCAGACTGGTCGCAGAAACGCGGCGTCTACACCGTCATCTTCGGCATCATCTCCATCGTCGGCTACGCAATGTTGATCTCAGACGGTGGCTCAGGCGTCCACTACGCTGGCTGCTTCCTCGTTGCCCTTGGCCTCTACGTCGCCGTCGGTCTCCCCATCGCTTGGCTTCTGGCCAACAACCCTCGCTTCGGCAAGCGCACCACAGCCACTGGCTTGCAACTCATGTTTGGCAACTGCGCTGGCATCATGTCATCCTTCCTGTACCCCAAGGAGCAAGGACCTCGTTTCATCAGGGGCCATGCTGTTTCGCTGGGCATGGTTTCTTTTGCCATGATTGTGTATGCATTCATGTGGTGGTACTTTGGGCACGAGAACAAGAAGAGGATCAATGGCGAGCGCGACTACAAGATTGAAGACTTGAGTGAGGAGGAGATTGCTGATTTGGGTGATGAGAATCCCAAGTTCCTTTACTCTATTTGATGAAGGGGTGGCTGCAGAGGCGTAACGAAGAATGCATAGACAATGTAATAGAAGGCTGGCTATAGATGTATAGATACTTGATTAATGCTCATTGCAACAACGCAAAGTAGTCTTGACTCTCAACTCTACTTTTGAGCTCATGACTTTTACAGATGTAGAACATGCACAAGAAGAAACTTGTAAAGTGTCGGAAAAAAATACTGTCAAATAAACTTTGATTTACAGACTACTGCTGCAAATCTACAGTTTCGAAGAACTGCATGGTTCAGCTTTTGTTTTGTCATCATCATTCGTTAGGGAAGGAGAGCAGGTTTACGAGCTCATGCTGGAGTGCTGCTTTCTGGCCTGAGAAATCTCGTCCTCCTTCATTTGTCTGAGGTTACCGGTGTTGGCAACTCCACCGGTGACATTGGCAGCAACGACTTCCTTGAGGTAACCGAGGGCGCCGACGTTGGTCTTGTAGTATGAGATGTCTGTGTTTTGTTAGTCATTTGTTACTGATGCATATGTTGGGAGAAAGAGAAAGAGAACATACACNTTGCTCTTGACCTCGATCAAGCTCATTCTCGGGTCCTCGGCAGTGCCATTGTGGACACCATCTCCAACGTCACCGAACCAGGCTGCAGCACCACGGCTCCAGACTTCCTTGATACGAGGATCGCTGTTGGAAGCAGTGGTGGCGGTACCGGTGACTGAGATCCAGTCTTGGCTCTTGGTGTCTTGGAAGGAAATGTTGACTTCCTTGTTTGCCTCGATATCCTTGAACTTTTGCGAGTGTGCGTTGGCGAGGAAGAGGAAGTCGGGGCCGGTGCGCTTGGCCAGGGCCATGGAGCGTGTGACGGGCTGGAGTTGCATTAGCAAGAAAGTCATTGAGAAGACAGTCAGAAAAGAGCTTACTCCGACACCAGGGCGGTATGTGCCTAGAAGACCAATCTTTAATCCATCCACAATCTTGTAGAACTCCTCGAACTTGGTGGAGAAGTCGGCCTCGTCCCACTGTCTCATGACACTAGGGTCATTCTTCTCGGTAATATCCTGGGGCTTGACGTCGGAAGGCATGTTGTAAGTATTGATTAGAAACGTGTAGGTGATTTAAAATCGTTGTAGTCGTTGCAGATGTTGTGGTTGCACGATGCTTAGTACATATATATGTGTTTGTCTGGAAGTTGAGCAAGCGCGATGACGATGCACGACAAATGGTGATGTAACCGAAAAGGATCTCACCAGTTTCCTCACGCAATCAGAGTCCGAAGTCCGATGGAGATCAAAGTCCGAGAACTAGCTAATGATGCCTGGTCAGGGCAAGTTCAACTGTAACAGTGCGATATGTCTAGATGGTGAATTGTTGTTGTTTGCGTGCTTCACGCACAGTCGTTCTCGTCGTTTGTCGATCATTTGACCATCAATGTCCAAGAGTTTAACGACGTACATCTGGGTCAGAGAGATTTTACGACGATTGAGCGCCACAGATGCAAGACATGATGTTAAATGCTCATTGGAGCGGCTGCCTTCTCCGTAGAGAACGCGATTTCGATTTTGGGATATCTTGGTAGGCTTGAATGATGGTCTAAGAGGCGAAGAAGCTGTAAGAGCGCTTCAACCCTACAATGAAGATAAGAGAAGCGGCCATCATCGAAAAAAAGACTGCAAAAGATAACGAAATTCCTGAACTCCTCCAAAGCAATGTGCTCAAACTCCGAGATAATGTTCGCCTAAAACTTCTAGAATGGGAAGCCTCCTCCCCAGGGAACTGGAATCCTCCTTGCTGCTTGAACTGGAAGCCGCCACCGCCTCCTCCTCGTTGATGGAAGAACTGTTGGTGACCGCCGCCACCGGGGAATCCAAATGGTTGGCCCTGGAAGGGGTTGCCTTGTTGAGATTGGTCGTTAGGGTCGTCGCCTCGGTCGAATCTGGCCTTGAGCTCTGGGTCCGAAAGAACTTCGTATGCCTCGTTGATCTCAGCCATCTTCTTCTGTGCTTCCTCGGCGTTGATGCCCTTCTGAGCAGCCTTGTCGGGATGATGCTGAATAGTGAGCTTGCGGTATGCTTTCTTGATTTCCCGCTCATCAGAGTCTCTGGTGACACCAAGGACCTTGTAGTAGTCTTTTTGCTTCGATCTCTTGAGTAATGTGTGAGCCTTTTGCAACAACTCCTGTACCTTTTGTGAGTTTTGGTGATGTTCCTTGGCCTGATTGAGGGTGTGGATGGCGGGTTCAAACTCGTCTGCGTCTAGCTGGCGAGTGGCCTTGCCAATCAAGGCTGGAAGACAGTTGGGGTTGTGGGTCAAGGCCTCCTCGCAGTACGGCTGGGCCTTCTTGAGATTGTTCATTTCAGTGTAGGCCTCGCACGTCAGCTCGACCAGGTCATTGTACAAGCGGTCGGGAGCATTCTTGTGGATGAGGCCCTCGTCGCGATATTGCTGTGTGGCATCTTTGACCGTCTTCAGAAGTCCCTCATCGTCGGATGTAGGAACCAGCATGTTGACGGCATTGACGTATCTGCTCTTATCCATGGCTTCTCTCATCTTCTTCATCTGCTTGTCGACGGCTTTCTCGGCTTTCAGCAATTTTCTACAAGGCTTTGAGTCGGGATCCGAGTGGAGACACTTCTTGACCTGGCCCATACCGTTGACGGGTTCGTTGAGAGCGTAAAACGACGTGGCAGAGATTTGGAGATGTTCGCTCGAGCCAGAAGAGACTTGGGCAATGTGCATCAGGTCACTGAGAGCCTCGACAACGTCACCCTTCTCGAAACGGCACTTTGCTCGTGTATGTCTCAAATCCATGGCACCTCCAGCGACCAAGATTGCAATGTCAGCATTGGCAGTACAGTCGGCCCAGTGTCCCTCCTTTTCTGCTTTCTGTGCCAGCGAGGCAGCATTTTGAGCATCGAGCAACTCGCGAACCTCATCGCCATCTTGTTTGCCAGCAGTCCCGTAGTCGGACTTTGCGCCGGTCCAGTCACCGTTTCTGCTCTTGATCTTTGCTCGTTGAACCAGCGCACCCTCGAAGGTAGGCTTTATGGAAAGGACGCGGTCGAAGTCGTGGCTAGCCTGGGAGTGTTTTCCGAGTTGGAGATAGGCAGCACCTCGGCGGAAGATGGTGAGGTAGTTTTTGGGATCACGAGTGATGGCGACGTCGAAATAGGTCAAGGCATCCTGGCCATTACCTTGAGCGAGAGCAGCGGTCGCGGATGAGATCAGTTGCGAGACGGGAATGTCGGCAGGGATATCACTGGCACTCAAGGCTTGAGTGAGTGGAAGACCCGAGATAGCGAAGGCGGCGCCCAGGGCCAGAGTCTGCAACGGAAGAATCATGGCGACAGCGATGAGTAGGGATATTCACAAAACATCAATAGAGTGTACACTTTCTTGGAGTAGCATGTGAAAGTGCCACTTGGACTGTTTACACCTGCTACCGAACAGATGCCACGTTGCCTAAAGCCAGGAAACTGCGGCAAACCAGACGGCCGCCGCCTTCACTGACAAGTTCCGAAGTCGTTCTACTGGCAGGAAGATGCCTTCCACTTCCATGGCCAGCAATCCATAGCCCTTTCTGTGCCAGTGTTCAGACAACACAGGAGTAACTTCCATTCCTGACCATTGTCTGCTCCATCCTCTGTTCGCTAGCAAACGTTCTGTACGCTCTCGACTCCAGACTCTCTCCACGTATTCTTCGTATCTCGTATCTATCCGCGGCCACTACGGAGGACGTCATCGAGCCCCGCCGCGTACGTCGTGCTCTCGTGGCCACGAACTCATCCGTCGCACTCAACCTATTCTGTATCCTAGGATTTTTTCTGTTCTCGTCCAATTCTCGTTGTCTTCATTTATCACAGCAACTTCCAATCCGCTTATTGATACTGCTTGAAAACAGCAACACGACTCGGATCGACCACGAGCAACTCTGCTCATCATGCCTCTCCGCCTTCGAGTCGACGGAACCGTCTTCCGTGATGGCCACAATCGCGAGGTTACTCTACACGGAATTAACGTCGCTGGCGACGCCAAATACCCTCTGAACCCGGACCAATGTTCGCATATCAAAGACAAGTTCTTCGAGGGCGACGACGTCTCTTTCGTCGGCCGACCCTTCAGCCTCGACGAAGCCCATACGCATTTCGACCGTTTGAAGAGATGGGGATACAACACAATTCGTTACATCTATACTTGGGAGGCCATCGAGCATGCTGGTCCTGGAAAGTACGATGAAGAATGGATCCAGCACACCATCAAGGTTTTGCGCCTGGCCAAGAAGTACGGCTTCTACGTCTTCATGGACCCCCACCAAGATGTCTGGTCAAGGTACACCGGTGGCTCAGGTGCTCCCATGTGGACCATCTATGCCTGCGGTCTGAATCCTCAGGCTTTCCTCGCAACCCAGGCTGCTTTTGTTCAGAATACATGGCCGAACCCTGCCGATTTCCCTAAGATGGTCTGGGCTACCAACTACCAACGCCTTGCCTGTCAGACTATTCTCACTCTCTTCTTTGCTGGCAAAGAGTTTGCTCCCAAGGCTGTGCTGGACGGCATGAACATCCAAGACTATCTCCAAGGCCACTTTCTAGGTGCGAACAAGATTCTGGCCCAGCGCATAANNAAAGAAGCAGGCGATCTCGAAAATGACGTTGTTATCGGATGGGAGAGCATGAACGAACCGAACAGAGGCTACATTGGCTGGGAGGATCTGTCCAAGTGGCCAGCAGATCAGAACCTGAAGAAGGGTCCTGCACCAACAGCCTTCCAGTCTATGCTTACGGGTCTCGGTAGGGCGGTGGAGCAAGACACTTTCGATTTCGGTAATTTTGGTCCTTACAAGTCTGGTAGTGAGCTCGTCGACCCCAAGGGAGAAATCGCGTGGTTGCCCGCAGGCTACGACGACTCACGCTACGGCTGGAAGAGAGACCCCGGATGGAAACTAGGAGAATGTCTCTGGGCCCAGCACGGAGTCTGGGACCCCAAGAACGACAAGCTGCTGAAGAAGGACTACTTCTCAAAGGTGCCTGTCTCGGGCGAGACAATCACACATGAGTACTACACCAACAACTTCTGGTTGAATCACTATCGCGCATACAGAGATACGATCCGAGGCATCTTCCCTGACACAATTATGTTCTGCCAGTCTTCGCCGTTTGAGGTGCCACCATCAATCAAGGGCACCAAAGACGATGATCCCCAGATGGTCTTCGCCCCTCACTTTTATGACGGTATCACCCTCATAACAAAGAAATGGTAAGTTCTCCGAATGTACTGCAGATGGTCGTTGCTGACAGTTCACAGGAACCGATTCTGGAACGTTGATGTAGTTGGCATTATGCGTGGCAAGTACTTGAGTCCTGCCTTTGCGGTCAAAATCGGAGAGAGCGCTATCAGAAACTGCTTCCGTGACCAACTCAAATATCTGCGCGAAGAGGGCGAAGAGAAGATGGGACCTCGCCCTACAGTTTTTACCGAGATTGGTATTCCGTACGACATGGACGACAAGTACGCGTACAAGACCGGCAATTACACCAGTCAGACGCTCGCAATGGACGCGAATCATTTCGCTCTCGAGGGTTCCGGGGTAGCGGGATTTACACTTTGGACATACGTACCGTCAAACAACCACTACTGGGGCGACAACTGGAACGGCGAGGACTTGTCCATCTACTCTGTCGACGACAAGCAACTACCGACATCTCCTGAGGTCGACAGTGCAACATACAACCCAGAGTCGCCATCGTATTCAGAAGGTAGAACATCCGGAGACGCATCGGTCAGCCCATCAATACTGAAGCGCACGTTATCTGTAGATCGAATGAGCGCCTCGAAGACACCTTCCATCAATTCAGATGGCGTGGGCATGCGTGCAGCTGAAGCCTACGTGCGACCAACTCAAACAGCGACACACGGCCGCGTCGTGTCTCACGGCTTCGACCTCAAAAATTGCGTCTTCCATCTGACCCTCTCTGCGTCTAGCTCGACGTCCGAAGATGCGCCTACCGAGGTCTTCTTGCCAGAATATCACTTCCCGCAGGGCAAGACCGAAATCGAGGTGCTTGGAGGAAAGTGGAAAATTAGTGTGGATGAGACCGAAGGTGCATCACAGCAAGTGCTGAGATGGTGGCATGCAGCAGGCGAGCAAAAATTGACTGTCAGGGGTCTCAAAAGACGGCAGGGCACAGCGATTGGGCATGAAGCCGAAGCAGGATATCTGGACCAGTGCAAAGAGACTGGCAAGGCTTGCGTTATGATGTAGTGAGACATGATGCTAAGGAGGCTAGAAGGAGTGAATGAAAAGTACCTAATCGCAATCGAATCTCGAATTACTCGATGGGGAATATATTGAGGTCATGTGATATGGTGCTGAAGGTCGCGACCCTGACAGTAGCTTTCTTGAGGGACGATGTATTAGAGCGGCGATAGAAGCGGTCAAATTTTCATGGCAATCTAGCTGAGATTCACAGATGTCAAGTGAGAGGCGGAAAACAACTGTGTGTGACTTCCAGATAGGATATCAGGGGTGGTTCGAGCAAGCAAGCAGGCATCAACAATCTCCTCCACACAAACAAAACTTCGACAACTGAGCTCCTTTCACATCCGTTCAACGACGCTCTCTACATGGCACCATGACATCTCTTGTTGATGGAGATAGGCTGTCGCAGATAACACAAGCTCTCGAAGCGACCTACGACGCGCGATCGACCAACGATACACGACGAGCAGCGCTCGAATTCCTCGATGGCGCCAAGAAGCAAGCAGACGCGCCGCAACACGGTTACTCGCTAGCTAGCGATCTCTCGCAACAACCTGCCATCCGTCACTTTGGTCTATCACTGCTTGAGTTCGCCCTTCGCTACAGATGGGAGGACTACGGTCAGAACGAGGCTGAGACTCTTCGCGGCTGGATCCTCAACCTCGCCCAGAACGTATCCGAATCCGATCCTCAATATTTCCGCAACAAAGTAGCTTCGCTATGGGTCGAGGTCGCAAAAAGATGCTGGGGTGCAGAATGGTTGGATATGGATGCTCTGCTGATAGCCTTATGGGAGACGACAGACGACAGCAAACAGCTGGTATACAGGCAGATGGTGCTGTACATACTGGAGTGTCTGTCTGAGGACATCTGCAACAGAGAAGACCCAGTCGCTGGTCTTCGTCAAGATGTGCTCGGACAATGCTTGAACGAGATTGTCATCCCCAGTCAATTGTATAAAGACCATCTCGAGTCGCGTGGCAGCTCGCAGAATGTGCGCCACACTCAAGATGGTTGGCTTTCCCGCATGTGCGCCTTCCTCTTCCAGTGCTCTACAATCATCCATCAAGGCGATCAACGAGTCGTCATCTCTGCCACCAAGACTCTCGAGGCACTGAGGCCGACAGTGACATGGCTCAGCTTGAGAGCCTTGACCGAGACTCAGTGTGCTCAATCTCTATACAAGATGCTTGCTGCTGGTGATGCTACTGTGCAGACGGTAAGACCAACACGTGTCCGCTCGACTGCACAATCAGACTGAATTGTGTCCAGGNCTACTATCGACGTTTTACAGGCCATTCTTAGCCGCCCCTACAACGCTCACTTCCACGAATCGTGGTCTCAAATCATGCTGTCTGTACTGCAACTCGATCACATTGAGCTGCTGAAGAACATCCATCTGAGCTGCAACACTTCCGCCGATGATATTGACGAGCCCAAGTACACTTTGCAGAAGAAGCTATCTGAGGTGTGCTCTTGGATTAATCGCATTCGAGGATGAAGTGCTAACTTTCGCAGGNTCTTGTCAATTCTAGGAGATGCTGCCGCTTCTAACCCTGAGATCATTGCTACGCCCGAGACATGCACCGCCTTGATTGATGTGATGATAATCGCGTTCCAACACGACAGTCTCCTTGTCTCTATCCCGTGTTTGCACAGTTTCACAAAACTCCTTGTTGCGAAAAGCCCGACCATCTCAAGTAACATGGGTCAGAGAGTAGCCATTCTCTTGGGTACCTGCAGCCAACGTCTCATCAAATACGAATCGCTGTCACACGAAGAGCTGCCGGTAATTCTCTACTTGAACGAGGACTTCGAGAACCCGCCCGAGCTTCATTCCTTCCTTGGCAACTACCGGAGGTACTGCATTACAGTCATAGAAAACATTGCTTACTACATGCCTCAAGAAGCAGTCGGCCACATATTGGATCAGACAGTGCAGATGGTCGACACAATCTGCCAAGAGTTCAGACCACCTTTTCCATCTACAGGTCCCGCAAAGACGCCAATTCCCGTACTGCAATTGGAATCCCAAGCATCCGTTCTTAGGAGTACGATGAATGGCTTCATCCAATGGTACAGCAAAGCTTCGCGACCAGAGTCGAAGTCTGATCAGCACACTACTAACAATGTTTACGGCGTGACGCTTACGAATTTGCGTGACTTCTGTTACAAACTGATGACGATGAAGCCACAACATCCAGAAATAGCTCGCCTCACCACACATATCGCGGTCAACGTCTTGGTGAAGACGTTACAAGGGCAGCCTGAGTTGGTCATAAAGATACTGGACTACTGTCTGAGCCTACAGTACACGGACGACGGCTCGAACAAGGATTACTCGGCTGCTGTTAAGAACTTCCAAGGAGCACGTTTGGGCGAAATGCAACGAATCGCGATGTCGTTCCCAGACTATCTTCTGGACGTCTACTCTGACCTGGAAACCCGAGTCAACTCTCTCATGTCTGCTGAAGACGCCGACGAGCGTACCAAGTGGGGTCTTCAAGCGTTCTTGTTCATTGTTGTACACCGAGCATCTGCCGTTGACTCTCAAGCACGACTTACTCGTCTCCAACAAATCATTCAGCCTGTGGTCGAGACTTGGCAAGATCCTCAATTGACTGAAGCATTGTCGACTTTCTCTGGTTTCTGTAACGTCGTTGGCCTCGAAGGTTTGCCCCAGTATCTCTCAGCCCAGAGATTTGCTTCTGTCCAAGACTGGCCAAGTCAACCCTTGGACCAGGAAGGCAAGGCGCGCCAGACCGATGTGCAGATGAAAGTCATGCGTTTGCCTCTCAACGCCACTAAGAATCTCCTCGCAGCCACTACCGAGAAGCTGAAAGAGTCGTCACGCGAGTACCAGATCGGTGCCCAAGTTTGGGGACCAGCAATGCAAGCCATGTTGTCGAACGTGCTGCAGATGACCAGACACGCCACATCCTTCCCCAACAGTAGCAACTGGTCAAGCTTCCCTCCCGAACTACAGATGGTAATGCAGAAGATGCTTGTGGATAGATTCTGGCAAGCGGGTATCTCGAACGAAAGTAGAGATGAATTCTATGCTCGCATTGCCGAGAGCGGAGATACTTATGAAGGCTTTGCCTCTGCAATCCGTGGTATTCCCCGCCAGATTAGAGATTGGTGCTACCATATCATTTACGGCATGACGAGATTCGAAGAGGAGTTCTTCGGGCTCAAGGAGCTGCCTGGACCTCTGGCTGAGGCGTTGCTTACAGACGCTTCGTCTTTGTCCACACATCACTTGCAAAGACTGATTGCTTTAGTGGAACGGCTCGTTCAGAGATGTCCAGCCCATCATAGGAGACACTTCATGCCACCGATACTGTCATTGTTCTTCTCGCAAACGGACAAGAAGATCAGTGCCGAGTGGGAAGTCATCGAAAGGTCTAGTACACAATCAGTCGAGGGTGAAGATCAGTTAAACGATGAAATGAAGGCTGAGAGCGTGTTGCGAGCAACAACCTATGCAGTCGTCAACTTTGCATCTACCATCCTCGATCAACGAGCAACAGGTTCGCACCTTCCTTCTTCCAAGCTTTCTACCAAAACATGCAAACTTACACGCACAGACGTCACATCCTCTACCCAACCTCAATCCGCACAACTCTCCATGCGCAACCTCGTTCTCTCCGAACCTTCCGTCCTGGAACCTCTTGTCCTCTTCTGCACCCACGCCCTCCGCATGCGCGACTCGCGCTGCTGCACCCTCATCTGCCGTATTCTGCGCTCCATCCTCCCTACCTTTGTCGCCGACACTGCCCCAGCACCTCAAGTCCGCGAGTTCATCAACACAGAAGTCCTCAAGGCTTGCATTACCTCGCTCAATGAGCCTTACTTTGTCGATGTACAACGCGATCTCGCAAACTTGATTGCTAATATCGTGGCATTGTACTCCCCTTTGTCTTCCACAGCTAGAGACGTGCTTCTCAGTCTGCCAGACATGGGTCAGCAGAAAGTCGATCAAGCGATTGAGAGGATCGTGGGCACTAGCAGCGAACGCACTCAAAGGATCCTAGTGCTGGAACTACTGGAGGGCGTCAGAGGTGTTTCTATTCACGAGGCAGGAAAGATCGATAGAAGAGATAACAAGGCCAAAAGGAGTGCCATGCAACAGCAGTACATGGAGGTTGAGCAGAAACCTGCTGGAGGCAAGAGGGAGCAGAGTCCGAAGTTGGAAGGAATGGCTGAGATGTTTGGCGGAGAGTAAAGAGGAGAAGAGACGAGAGAGAATTCGATTCTCATTTTCCAAGACAGTATGAAAAAGACAAGTTGCTGATGGCTGCTTCAGACTTTCAGAAAATGTCTTTTCTATGCTTCCAACATACTGTTAGCTTCCTTCCTGCTTGCTTACCTTCTTTGATGGAAAAAACTCTAGAGCCCTGAACCCTCCTCCACTCTGCTTCTAGTCAAGTCATGTTCCCTCTTTCCATCCAGTATATCTGCAAGACTAGCCTGCATATCGCTCGGTGCATCAAAACCGTAAGTGTTGCGGTTTTTCCAAGGCAGAATAACACACACCATACCATGATCGCAAATTTTTTCCAGGCCAAGATACTTGAGACTTGATTGATCAGCCCAAGTTGCACCTGATCAAAAACAATAATATGATCGATCTTCGACTTCCTCAACCCTGTTGGCAACAATTGACTGTTCTTCAAGTATCTCGGCAAGGCGGGCATGCATATCCTCGCCATGTTTGATCAGATATCCGTCTCTGAAGTCTTCCTGATGATAGCACCATGCGTTTTGGCTGTGCGTGCATGAATCCTCAAGTTCGAAGTACCAAAGACGAGGCAAGTGGTCCTTGATCCAGGCAACTAGAGGAACGCAGTTCTCCGTAAAGATGCATATGTTCGATAATGTAAGTCTTTTCAGGGCGCCGCTGTATTGTTGGAGGAACGTGAATAACTCCGATTTTGGCATTTGGGAACATCTGAGGTAGATGCTCTGCAGAGATGATGAAGTGACGTGTGGCAGTACCTCTCGGAGGTACTCGCGTCTATCCATGTCTTCGTATCCGCTCAGCTCGCACAGGTGCAATCTTTTCAGGTTACGGGCTGCCAACACCATCTGGTTAACCGATTTCAAGGTGGTCTGAGGATCTTTGTCTTCAACTTCGATCTCAAGCTCTCTCAACTGTAAGCATACAACTCTTGGCTGTTTTCTGATATCATCAGTACAAAGACTAGTATCATTCACAGAGTCTTCGCGCGGCTAGTATCGCTGACGAAACAGTCCCTTGATCCTGCAACGTTGATTGTAGGCTGCTCTTATAGTTTCTCTCAACTGTCGTGCTTCCAGTCCAGATGCCACCAGAATATTTGAGGTTCCGTAATGTTTGTCGTAGAGGACGTGTCTGGCACCAATCGCGCAAGGCTATGATTAGTCACGAAAATCCTCCAGTTGGGGGTGTGTCCAGTGAGAGCATGCCCTTTCTTCCCCCCTGAACCTGGTGACTCCTCTGAAGACCCCTCTAGCCCGCCTGGTTTTGCTCTGATTTAGGGGTCTACATTCGCTCTGCGTGCATGATAAAGATGTATATGGCTGCATGATCAGTACTGCGTCGCTATGAGGGGGAAGCTAGGCGTGTCAGACTTCAGCTATCAAATTTTGAGAGTGCCATTATTCACTGACCTTGATATAAACATGAGGTGAGCTGACAGCTCAAGGACGATTTCATCAGTCGAGCGAGTGGAAACTTGGCGATGCCGAACGAATGGCTACAGAGCAGAATGGTCTTTTGATAGTACTCTATAACAATAACAAGATACGTATCCATGTTCTATCATCTCATCTTCTACAACTCATCCTTGACGACTTCTGCCTGCTTGAGAGCCTCACAGACAGCAGGTGTGCCAACTTCCATACGATAAACACACTTTTCCTCCTCGAAGACCTTCCAGATCTCGTTTTGTTCGGCGCAGCCCAAGACGACAGTGGTGCTACGGTTGGGACCGTTCCAGCAGTGCTGTCCGTTTTCATGTCTCATGGCAATGCGCTCGCCAGAGCCAAGGCCCTTGCCATCAGCAGATACTTCTTCGTCAACGGTGATCTTGTCGAAGCGGACAAAGTTGCCCATGCGAGTGCTGCTGCCGCCCTTCTTGGACTTTTGAGTGGTGTGTTCCATGAAGCAGAGTTCGTAGGTGTATTCGCCAGAGTCAACAGAGATACATTGACCCTTGAGAGCACGGAAGACTCCGTCGGGACCGTACTCCTTGTTCAAGTCTTCGTTGTGGGAATCGAGATCTCTGCGTTGCGAGTTGACGGCATCTTGAGCAGACTTGAGGCGATCCTTTGCACCATTCACGGCCGCCGACTCGCCGCCCTCGGAGGACAAGTCGGCGAGGATGCCATTTTCAATCAGCATCACACGGAGATCGCGTAGCTTCTGGTCAACCCAATCGCGAAGAGGCTTAGGGAGGTAGTTCTCGATCTCGTATACTGGCGATTGTCAGTGGGTGGCTGAGAGGGGGATCAGAAGACATGACTTACAAACTTCGACGTCTTCGCCTTCGGCCTCGAGGTACGACTCCCAGTCAAGACCATTGTCCTTGTCGGTCTTGGTGATCTCATTAAGATCTCTGTCGTGTGCCGAAGTGTCATCGCCGCTCTTGTCACGAGCAGCGTAGTCTTCCCATGCACGAACAGCTCGCTTGACACCTTCGTCGTTGAAGTTGGGGTTGTACTCCTCCTTGAAGGTCGACAGAATGGCCTCCAGCTCCTGGACACGATCCTTGGAAGTGTCACGCTCCTGACGAACACGAACGAGGTGATCTCTCAACTCCTCAGTTCGCTGTTTTGCAAGACCAACAAGCACACCCATCTTGCCCTGCTTGGCGCCCTGTCCCTTGACAATCTTGCCCTTCTCACGGCGCTCAACTTCAGCCAACTCTTTCTCCATGTCCGTGACGTGCATCTCAGAAGCAGTGAGTTGGGTTTGCAGGGTCTTAATTCTGTCCTCGACCTCTTTTCTCAGGCGTTGGGCCTCGTTGGTGTACTCCTTTCTCTTCCTGTTGGCACTGTTGAGAGAACGCTGGCGCGACTCGGTCTTCTTCCTCCACTCCTTGCCAATCTCGTCGCACTTGTTCTGGCACTTGACACCGCCGACACTAGCCCACTCTTCGCTACCGTCACAGCAGAGGTCGTAATCGCAGAAGCCGTCGTTGACGCTGGTATAAGGGACGTAGCTGGATTGGTGACCCTTGTTCTTGCAATAGAACCCAGGCAAGACTTGCGTAGAGTTTATCTGGTCCTTGTTTGTCGTATCCGAAAGGGTCGAAGGCGAGAGCGGCGAGAGGTAGGAGCAGGCAGAGGTGCCAGGCTCGTCGGAGCCATCGGGGCAGTCACAGTAGTCGTCGTTGACCTGGGAGAAAGGAATCGTGATGGATGGATTCGAAATGCAAGTGAATGATTCAACATCCTTGTAGAACTTTGCAACTNNGGAAAGAACAAGAGGTGGTGTCAATTTGGGCATCTTCTTGGAAAAGCTATAATGAATGGTAAACTTACACTCAGGGCCAACACCACGAGGCCGCGAGGGCTCTGCAGCGACAGATGCAATTGATGCGGCTGCAACGAACCATGCTCCAGCTGCCTTCATCTTGGACGTGTACAGCAAAAGGTCAAAACACAACAAGACAGCCCTTAGACTGAATGCTCAATGCTCAATGCTCAATGCTCAATGCTCATCAGCATCCCCGAACCCCAAAGCGACACGGTTACCACCAAAACCCGTCCGTGCACTTATCGCATTCCTTATCGGCACACCATCATCGTCCCCACATTATGTTTCTATACCACTTTCCGTCTCGCCACTGCACTCTCGCAATCAAGAGAGAATCTGCTGTGTATTCGATTCATGATCTCCGAAGATGAGATTGCCAACTATGAAGACCTTCGAGATTGCCTGTCCGAACTGTTGATCTCGAGACTCTCCGGTACTGCAGACAAAAAGAAGANNAAAAAGGCTACCAAGGGTCGCAAGAATGAGATCAAGCCCGTGAGCAGGCCAGAGCAAGATCCAGAGGACAACGATGCTCTGGTCGCTGATCTGGGTGAGACGATAGAGGTATGTAAATCTCATCTTATCACTAATCGATACGATGCTGACATAGATGAAGNNTATCTCGCTTCTGAGATATTTCCTTCATTGCCTGATGATTTGCGGACTCTATCATACAGTGACGTCCAGAATGATGCTCAGCTGGCTGAAAAGTACAGCGTGCCTCTGGACTCGGATGTATACGAGGACTTGCTGCAACCAATGCCACTGTCGATATCAGATTCGTTGACCTCTTACGGTCTACTGTCCGATCCAACAGACCTACCACGATTACTGGAGCCTGTCTTTACATCGTACATCACAAGCAGAACAACTGCGCCGCCAGAGTTCGCGCCTTCTAGTCGAGCAACCGAGTGTGAGATTTGCGAGAGGGAACACCTTCCTCTTACCTATCATCACTTGATCCCGAGGGCTGTGCATGCAAAGGTCGTCAAGCGTGGCTGGCATGCTAGTTGGGAGTTGAACAAGGTTGCTTGGCTATGCAGAGCGTGCCACAGCTTCGTGCATCGACTTGCGACTAATGAAGAGCTGGCCAAGGAGTGGTATAGCATCGAGTTGCTTTTGGAAAGAGATGATGTTCAAAAATGGGCAGTCTGGGTCAGCAAGGTCCGATGGAAAGCCAAGTGATGCTAGATCAAACTAGGCTGATGCCTGTGTTCCTGCCAATGATGGATGGTCTCTTTCAAAGATACGCTATGCAGTGTGTGTCCTCAAAATATGTGCTTTTCATGCTTCGCCAAAGTTCATGTGGCCCGTCTGCTTCGCATGCTCCGTGGCACCCTGCTCTCCCTTGCCAGTCCAGCCACAGATGTTACACTTGATGGTGAAACCATGGGTGTCGGTAAAGTAGTGTCTCTGCTGCAGAATCTGACACAGCTCTCTTGCGGCTTGCAGAGCTCCACCATCTTCGCCCTCCATGCCCTCAATCTGAGCAACCTCGAACATCTTTCTGTCGAACTCGGGACTCGTGCCTTGGCCAGGGGACACGGCAACAACATCGTAATGTATGCCAGAGTATATCAGAATGCAGCGTCTTGATTTGCCTTCGTTGAAGCGGTCAACACGCAAATCCTGGACGTTGATGCTGCAGATCTCAATGTCGAATTGCTGAGAGAGGATGGCGAGCTCGATGCCACCTCCCCAAGAGTCCTCGCGCTGGATCCAACGGCAGTAGTCGTCAGGTGCTTTTTCGAGCATACCAGCAGTGTATAGGTCCGGGTTCGCCTGGATTGTTTGGGCAACCATAGAACGTAACTGGCGTTCGATTAGCTGGGAACGATGTGACAAATCCTTGCTTGAACAAACCTCATTCATAGCATCGAGCGCATCGCCCAAAACAGCGCTTCCTAGAGCTCTGAACATACAGCTGTTGTCGTCCGGCATTACGCGGAGGACAAGGACACCTTCCAGGCCAGGTACAGGGACCTCAGGTGGGTCGCTCTCCACATCGTTGGGTTTCCGCTGCAGAGATAGTGGTGCAGCTTGCTCTCCTTTTGTCTGGCCAGATGGAAAGTCGCCAGCCTTGTGTTGAGGAGGCTGGATGTTCTTCAGAGATGGCAACTTTCCGTGAGTTTGAGGATCGACATGGCCAGACATTGGGTTGTGCAGTGACTGCTGAACGTCGCGTGGCAAGATGATGAGTTGTTCGCCATCGAGTTTGATACCGACATCAGCCAGCTTTGTCTCGTTGTCGATGCTTGTGGTGTCCAAGTTCTGCGGTGGGTAGCCGTACTTGACATCAAAGTCTGCGACTGATGTCTTTGTGGATATCTCGTGTTTGAGTTCTCCCCAGGTTGCCGTCTCTGGCATGTTGACTTGGGACATGCCCGAAGGACCGCGAATTCTGATGCGCATGACTGTCGACTAGTCTGTTTCGTTTCTTTGATCTGTGGCTGACTTGAATGGATGCTGTTGTATCACGTGAGATGCTTTTTGGTCTGTACCCAGAAGAGGTCGGAGGGATGCAAAGTAAGGTAGGTATCTGACTAGGATGTGTGATGGTGATAGCCTCGGCACGACGTCACTGCACCAGGGTCGTCCTCTTAGCAACATCCTTGGGCACTTGTCATGGCCATCAATCCCTACAGACTCATTCAGATGATAAAATGTGAAAGCAGATGTTGGAGCATGCGTCTCAGTAGCCAATTCTGATAGAAATTTTGAACAACTTGGTAGTATTGTTGGACGATAAGTACGCTGAATGAGAGATACCTATTTTGACGTTGTATTCCTTGATATGCTACGCAATAGGAGAAGATGCAAATGCATCACTTTGTGTACAGACCAATTTCTGTTGAGGTCTCGAGCGAAGAAATCCACGTCAAAAGTCTCCATAATAGCATAACAGAGAGCAACAAACACCCTTGAGAGAGATGGAAGATGTGAGGTAGGCGCGAACGGCGTTTTGACTCGTAAATCCGAGAAACACTGCCAAGACTCGTGCATAGCTGAATCGACGCGCCCTCGGTGGTTTCGCGACGTGTGATTGCTAGAGCAATTATTGTCCTTATCGATCACTTCTCGATCCATCATCCGCAAAAGGGGCTTCACTCTTTTCATTGCGCACTATGGCGTCCGAAGTCGCAATGAGCCAGGACAACACGCCCGTTCCCTCGACCGAGGGCGCAACCCAAGGTCAGGCCATGTCTGAAGCCGAGCTGGACCAGATGCAGAGCATTCTCGACTTTGTCTACGACTACAGAACCCCCGAGTATGCGCATTCCATTTCACACTGTTACGCGACTCTGAACTGACATGTGCGCAGCGGCCATGACCCCTCCAAAGTTTTCCACCGCAAGGTCAACAAACGCGCCCTTCCCCACTACTACGAGGTCATCAAGGAGCCTATGGCTATGAGCACCATCAAGGCCAGGATCAACAACAAAGAATACAAGAGCTGGGCCGACTTTGTGCGCGACTGGGCTTTGATCGTTTTCAACGCCCAAACCTACAACAGAGCAGACGCCGGCGCATACCAGGATGCCCTGACCATTCGCGATGTCGTCGGCACCGAACTCAAGAAGCTCGTCGACCTCAAGGTCATCTCAGAAGACGTTTCCAGATTCCCCTACCTTGGCGAGATCCCGCCTCAGGACGACATTGTGGAGGAAGAGGATGACGACGAGGATGAAGATGATGAAGAAGACGACGACATAGGCGGAGACGACTCGGACGAAGATGGCGGTAAACGTAAGAGAAAGCGCGGCCGCCCGTCAAAACGCGATCGCGACTTGGACAAAGACGACGACCCCGAAACCAGAAAGAAGCGCGGCAGACCACCAAAGGTCCTCACTCCTGTCGAAGCTCGCATCCAAGCTGTCCTCAAGGGCATCAGGAAACCCAAAGGCCCCGGCGGGCTCAAAATTGGAAGCTTTGAACGTCTACCCGACAAGGCAGTCATGCCCGAGTATTACTCCGAGATACGAGAACCCATGGCATTCGATGTTCTGAAGCGCAAGCTCAAGAGGAAGAAGTACCAATCACTCGAGCAGTTCATGAAAGATGTGGATCTTATGTTCAACAATGCAAAGTCATACAACGAGGACGATAGCCAGATTCACAGGGATGCTGTCGAGCTGCAAACCGAGGCGCACCGTCTGGCCAACGAGGAACGCAACAAGCCCGACTCAGACTATGCCATGGATGAAGGCAGAATACCCCTGCCCAATGGTATTCTCTACAACGGCGAGCTCTACAAGGTCGGCGACTGGGTCCATGTCACCAACGCAAATGACCTGACCAAGCCGATTCCCTGCCAAATCTACCGCACCTGGCAAGATCCACAAGGCGGCCAGTGGGTCAATGTCTGCTGGTACTACCGTCCCGAACAGACGGTACATCGCTTCGACAAGCACTTTCTCGAAAACGAGGTCGTCAAGACTGGCCAGTACCGCGATCATCGTGTTGACGAGATCATTGGCAGATGCTTCATCATGTTTACCACACGCTACTACAAAGGTCGCCCACGTCGCCAACCCGCTGACTTGGACGTCTACGTGTGCGAGGCTCGCTACAACGAGGAGAAGTTCAAGTTCAATAAGATCAAGACGTGGGCCAGTTGTTTGCCGGATGAGGTACGCGACAGAGACTACGAGATGGATCTGTTCGACCAGCCGCGCAAGATGAGAAAGATAGCCAGTCCCATCGCATACCTGCTCAAGGACACTGACAAGGAGACGGACGACATGCCCAAGCCTGAGTGGGGAGCGGAGAATGCTCCTCCCAAGATTGGCGCCGTCCACAGACGCCCTCGCGATCCCAGAGACTCTCCACCTCCAGCGCCCACTCCCTCGCCGCCGCCTCAGCCTGCCATCGCTCAGGCTCTGCCCCGTCAATCTCAGCCTTTGCACATGTCGCCGTCCAATTCAGCTGCTACCATGCAGGCCTATTCGCCCATGCAGTCTCAGATGACGCCCATGCAAACGGCTGCCCAACCCGTCCGTCCTATGCAATCAATGGCACGTCCCTCGCACACTCCTGCTCCCATCCAGCAACACTACTCGCAAAACCATTCGGCCTCGCCTGCACCAATGCCTAGTCTTCAACGCGCTTCCTCTGGCCAGTTCAATCCCGCCACCCCTCAACACATGAGCGCCATGCCTCTGCCTCGCACCGCTAGCCACCCTTCAACCTTCCAAACTCAAGCTCCTGCTATCCCTCCCGCTCCATCCGCTTCGCAAAGCCGCTCGTCATACCGTGATCCCGTACCCATCGAAGTCTGGACGCTACCCGATGCCGCCAACGCCAGCATCCCATCCGAAATCCGCAGCATGTATCAAACAGACGATCAAGGCCGCATACTCTTCTTCTCTGCCCCTCCCATCCAACTAGCCGAAGAGGCCAACGACCCCAACAAGAACCTTGGCCATAGCCTCCACTACATGGCGGAAAGGTCTCGTCGCACTCAAGAAATCGTCGCCAGACGCAAAGCCTATGAAGAAGGCAAGGCCGCTCTCGCAGCTAAGAAGAAGCGCCAACGCGAGGTTGACGAAGAGATGCGCAATGCAGACTACGAAACCCAAAAGGCTAGAGCTCTTGCTATGTTGAACTCGCACCTCACGCGCAGTACTGCCTGGGAACTCAAAGCCATGTACGGTGAAGAGGGTTGGAAGGAGGGTATGGACGCTATGCTCGGTAACTTGGAAGAACAGCAGAAATTCGCCGTACAGAGAAAGGTTTTGATGGAGAAGAACTCTGCTCTTAGAGTTGCTGAGCAGGTTTCCCTCAAGTCGAATGGTGTCTTGTTCGACAAGGTTGAGGATGGTCCCTTCTGATGAGAGTTCTCACAAGACAAGGACTGATGGCATGGAGTTGAAGCGTGTGTTGCATTTGCATTTTCGGGAGCTTCTGGTGTTACACTATACTGATGAATTATTACTACCAATGATACCCCTCCGGGCAAGCGAAAGGAGAAGGAGTAGATGAAAGAGAAAAGGGGAAGAACAATCAAAGCTGTGCTATTGGCCTCTTCAACTATACAATAGTCACAAGAACAAAACAATTTTTACTATCCGAATCTTCCTCGAGTGCTTTGTACCCGTCGTGCTTGATCTTTCCAGAGCCTCCCACAACTACTTGCCCATCCTGACATGACACTCTCCACGCGCCAGAGTTAGTCATATCCAACCACTCAGACATCGAAGCTACAAACTTGTACAGAGTTATAGCATAGGATGTATGTCCCCATTCATATGATACATCTTCACGGGCACTGCCCTATTTGCATCAAGGTGCGACGGCCGTGTCCGTGTGACCGCCTCTAGCACAAGAAAAGACTGCTGGTCTAGATCTTCGAGTGCTCCCCGTGACCCATACATGCATGCATATATGACGTAGCGGCCAGAAACCATGCCATCATGGCGCAGACAAGTCAACGATGAAGCAAAAGCAGGATACGCATGTGGACACGGCTTCATGCATGGAAGAAATTCGCTCTGCATATTGCATCACCACATGTTTGAGGCTCTAAAGAAACTTGTACATGTGATGTCGGGTCAGCCGCTGGTTCTAGTAACCGAGTGTAGTACAAATATCGGGACGTTTAAGGCTCTGCTTCCATGACCGTGGTTGCTTTTTCTACGCATCATATAAACAAAACCTCTACGATACTACCTATTTTACATACAAGATGAGCCCTGCAGACTGGCGATCCGGCACTGAGAATGAGGCTCATGTCTTTTCTATGACGCTGGCTGCCGTCGCGATATCACGACAAAGTATACAGCAATACCCACGCCAATGGCATCAAGCCCGAGTGCCAAACACCACGCCCCTCGGATCCCCCATAGCGGGCCGTGGTTTTGACTCACATATCTCTCAACGGTACCTGCAATGCCCAAGCCAATACTGATGCTGTAATTCACCACAGTGGACACCAAGCTAGCAGAAATACCTTGGTGCTCCTTGGCCATGGCATTACTGAGCAAGATGGTACCGGCCGGAAAACTCCAATTCATGCCGATGGGCATGATGATGACGCTCCAAAAGGTAAGGACCCAGTAGGTTTGGCCCACGGGCACAAAAGCAAGGAACAAGGTGCCGATGAAGAAACCGAGCATGGCGCACAGCATGATATATGATGTCTTGAACTTCCGGGCCAGCCAACCCGCGGACATGGCGAAGCCGACTCCCGTGATGGCCACCGGAGATATTTGTGCTGCGGCGGCAATGGCGCTGGATCCTCTGTAACGCTGCACAAACTGGAAGAGGTAGAAGAGCCAGATGCCATGGCTACTCCAGCCGGCGGCGATGCATGAGAGTGCTAGTACAGCTTCTTTGCTGAGACCTCGGACGGGCACCAAGGCTTGCTGTGCGTGGTTCATCTCGAGGTAGACGAACGCAATGAGTAGCATCACCCCCATTCCTAGGGTGAAGGGAATGTAAGCCTTGTTCCAGCCTACCACAGGTGCCTGGTTGAGGGCAAAGTTGAAAAGGACAAGCCCAGATACGCCGGTGCAGGCGCCTGCGAAATCGAAAGTGGAGGTGTTGACCTCTCGCGGAAGCGGGCAAGGTATGACCATAAATGATAGTGCTGCCATGCCGACGCAGAGTATAGCGAGCACCCAGAACGCCCAGGGCCACCCTAACCATNNGTCAGCTCGCGTTGCCACAAAGGGCGGAGTTCAATACTTACATGCAAACTGTGATAGTAGAGCAGAGAAGATGGCCCCGAACACGAAACCAGTGGGACCGCATGCGCCGAATGCCGAGAACACCATGTTACGCTTCAAGCCAACGGGGAAAGTGGTACCGATGAGCGCCATGGCATTCGGCACCAGGATGGCGGGTCCTATCCCCTGGAAGCCACGGGTGACGCTGAGCATCACAGAGCCATGCGATTTGGCTGCATAACTGAAGCCTACAACGATCGAGAAGACAGCATACCATATCCAACCGACGATAAACATCCGTTTGTGCCCGTACATATCTCCCAAACGACCTGGCTTCAATTAGCATCTCGTCGCAAGCATGGAGCGTGTACAAGACATACCGGCAGGCAATATGAATGCGCCAACTGTTAGACTGAACGCTGCAGTGTACCAGCTCATCGCTCCAAGATCCGTTGGGGCAACTCCCAAGTCTTTGCCAATGATGAACAGCGGTGCCACGGACTGGCCAAGTCCACCGAGTGTGAGAAATTGAGCCATGCAGATATTGATGATGAACAGAAGCTCGCGAGCATTGAGCTTTGTCTTGACAGCTGTCTCAGGCACAGGTGGAAGTGCTGTGAGGTCACTCTTCTCAACACGAGGTTCGCGGTTGATGGGTGTTATGGCTCCATCGGAAGCGCAGCCATGCAAAGTGGGCACCTTGCTTGTGTTGATTGAGATATTGTTGAGGTCGAAGTCGAAGGAAACAGCCTGGCCGATAGGTGTTTGTGGATAGTTCGAAGCCTGCCCAAGTGTTGTTTCGGAACGAGCGAAATCGGTTCTTGATGCATGGTTCTCGTCGAAAGAAAATGCTTCGCTCGAAGTATCTGCACGTAGCCGCTCTAGATGGGGGAAACCGTTCACGGCATGGCGTGGGTAAGGCGAGTATCCGCCCATGATGGGTATGTCTTGGTTATATTGGTGCCTCCTCGGTATGTATACCTTGTTGCATGTCTCGTCTCGCAGAAACGACACAAATGCAGCCAAGTCTAGTGATATAAAAGATCTGTTGGGTGCCTACATGCTTCAAATGCTCTTCTCGAATGTGAGTCGCCTTTTCGGTCATTCGGAAAAGCGATTGGAGCAGGCCCCGTTTGCTATTTTCATACTCTTTGTCGTAGCCTGACATTTGAAGGTTCAAGTCAGCATGGTGATAAGCTACAACACTGGAAATCCTGGTGGATTCTCAGAATACTGATCTACACGATAGAGCTACGGCCAAGTTGCGGGCTTGAGAGACAATCGTCTCTTCCGTGAACGGTCAGCTGAGGGTCGAGCCTGCTGGTCAGAAGAAAGAACTACACATAGCTCGTAAGCTGTTGGGTCATTCATTTAGAAATTGGTTGGAGATTCGTGATCCTGCTGGCTATGGTTTCCCAAGAACGGCGCCTGAGTACCCTATGTACATGCGACTGTGTCGCACAGCGTACCCGTTCCTCAGCATCGTGGTGTATATTCTTAGTAGCCACAAGGCTATGGTTGGAGGACCCGCATTTGTCTGATTGGGTGTAGGACGAATCTCTGGATGAGGATTGCCAGGCTGGTAAAGCTGACAACATGTATTGACGTTGTTCAAGACCAGAACACTACCTTCTCAGGGGCAAATCTGACGTGCTTAGCTTGACTCAGCCACCGTTGCATCTTGGTGATGCGATGGATGTATCATCTGTAGACGGCGATGGCTTGAGCTGCAAGGATGATGTCCAGGATGATGGAAGCTTGTCTATGAAGCCAAGTGTGAGGTGAAGTATCCAAGTAGAGTGTGGAGAGTGGTAGAAGGCAGGAGCCGAGCTCGGCATCCGGAGTTGCGAACCTCCGAGGTCGGCCAACCTTTCCATCACTCTACGAGTACCTCGTCTCAAGCTTCTCGGCATCAACCACCTGCTCTCCTCCATGCACAACACAATTGAACATGTCCTAGATCAGAAGGTGCACCCTGCCATGCCTCCTATAGAAAAGACCCATCTACCCGATGCCACAATACTTTGTGGCCAGGCACCGACTCTCTGCCCGCTCCAATTTAAAGATTCGTGGCAAGCGTCTTAATTAGGAATTCTTGGGAGAATACTTAAAACTGGAAGCATAGAATCACTGTTCAAATCTCGAATACCTTACGACAACAATGTCTTGCTAGGTGCATGTTTACAAGACTCAAAGGCTAAGTCATCGACTAGTGATTGTATCTCTCTTGTCCGTCGGAGGAATGTCTGTAGGTCTTGTCGATGCGGCGTGCAGGCTTACCTGCGTTTCCAACTATACATCAAGGCTTCGCCTGTTATGCACAGACTTTGGTACAACGTCACTCTACCACCTGAGCCACGGGGCGTATGGTTGACTAACATGACTGGTACTAAGCCTTATTCTACGCTGATCCTGACCAGTTGATAGTAGTTAGACGTAGCCTCAGTTGGTACAAGAATCCGGTACTTCTTCAACTGACCTTCCAGTCAGACGGGAATAGCCTTTGGTCAAGTATCTCTTGCCAAAATAAACCCTCACGGCTCAGCGGCACGAGAGATGACAAGCTCGCCTAGGGATCACCACACCTTCGACTAATGATTCAATGTGCCCAGAATGACAGTTCAGGACTGCCAACCAGCCTTCCAAGCCTCGACCAACAGGTAGTATATACTGTCGGTGCTCGCGCCTCCCTTCCTACTTCAATCGTGAAGATTCGCAGGTGTGCAACCTCTCATAAAAGACGGCGAACAACCTTTGATCTCGATCCACTTAGTGTGGTCTCGGCATCTTACATCTCTTCTTCTTTGGTTCTTCACCGGCGATGTTGTCCTCTACAACACTAGCCTACTGCTTCGTTTGGGCATCTCTGACTCGATGCATTATAGCAGGAGGCTCGAGTCCTTACGGCGCCTGGGGTCATTCTTATGAAGGCAATCAGAATGGATGGGATTCTGGTTCTTCCTCCACCTGGCAAGAGTCTGTATCGTCGGTCAAGACTCTGAGCTCAATGACTCCCGCTACCAGCGATGTCAAGCCATCATCTGCGCTGCAACACCCGTCGTCTTCTTCCTGGTCCACCACCGGAGCTGTCACTTCCAGCATCTCTTCCACAGAATCGACAATAAAGTCTGCAACCATCGCTACTTCGGCGCCTTATCCTGCGAGTAACTCGAGTGTTTCCAACAGCTTAGGATCTCCTTCCAAGACAGGCACCGCACTCACTAGCCATGCTTCATCAATAACTGGCAATACAGTCACGTATAACTGGAACATCGAGTGGGTGATTGCTGCACCTGATGGAGTATCTCGTCCTGTAATCGGTGTTAATGGTCAATGGTAAGTCTGTTTGTAGTCTCGGCTCAGATCTAAATTTGTCTAACAGCTCACAGGCNCGTGTCCGTCCATTGATGTCATGACAGGAGACCGTGTGGTTGTCAACGTCTACAACGGCCTCGGGAACGAGAGCACAGCACTTCACTGGCACGGCATCCATCAAAGAGGCACAAATCACATGGATGGAGCGACTGGAACCACTCAATGTCCGATAGCCCCTGGCCAGAGCTTTACGTACGATTGGATTGTAAGTTAGGTTTCGATGCGTAGAGACAACTACTGACAAAGTCTGTGCAGGNCCGACCAAGCAGGCACTTACTGGTGGCATTCCCACAACATGGGTCAGTACCCTGACGGCCTTTGGGGACCACTTATCGTTCGCGACCCAAATCCGCCTTACCAATACGACGAAGAACTGATTATAACGCTCTCGGATTGGTACAACGATCAAATGCCTTACATAATTCATCAGTATCAATCCACTGCTGGCGAAGCAGAGGATGGCACTCCGAACCCAGTAGGAGGAGCCTTGATCAACTCTGGAAAGAACGTCTCAATCCATGTCAAGCCAAGCACCACGTATCTGGTCCGTATCATCTGTCCCGCTGCTTTCACTGGTCACGGTTGGGTCTTCGATGGTCATAATCAAACGACTGTAGAGGTAGACGGTGTATACACTGTACCTGTTGTTGCTACCGCTGGGGGCAAGAACGTTCGAATCGCCCCTGGACAAAGACAAGCATTCCTGATGAGAACCAAGGACGACACAAGCAAAAATTACGCCATTCTTGATTTCCAGGATCCCAACATGTTGTTCATCAATAAAGGTCTCACACCTGATCCTGTCTACCCACTCAACGCCACCGCCTGGTTGGTATACAACACCAGTGCAGATTACCCACCTCCACCAGTCCTATACAACCTCGGGAACGACGACTTTTTCGACGATGTCAACTACATTCCATTGGATCGGGAGCCTCTTCTCGAGCCAGTCGATCGACAATTGGTCATTGATATGTCTATGGAGAATATCACCGGCATCTCCAGGTACGTCTCGAACGCGCTCGCGAGTAAACAATACTAACAGCTTTGAAGATACATCTTGAACGGCCACACATTTCTAGGCGCCAAAGTGCCTACGCTGTATTCATCTCTCACTGTCAATGAAACTGAAGTATTGAACCCAGATGTCTATGGAGATGTCAATCCTTACGTTTTCAAGTACGGCGAAGTCGTTGAAGTGGTTATGAACAATCTGCACTCCAATCTCGTAAGTGCAACCTCGATCTGTTGCCTATGTACAAATTACTTACAACCTGTCCGTACAGNNCACCCCATGCATCTTCATGGCCATCAGTTCCAGATCATTGAGAGATCAGACCCTAGAGCTGGTACATTTAGTGGTTCATACTCTAATCTGCCAGCCACGCCGATCAGAAGAGATACGGTCATGGTTCAGAACGAGGGCTATGCTGTCATCAGATTTAAGGCCGACAATCCAGGTTGGTACAAGGTGATTGATGCCGATGTACATCGCTGACAGAGATAGNGTATTTGGCTTTTCCACTGCCACATTGAGCTTCATGTCGAAGCTGGCTTCAGCGCTACCTTCATTGAAGCTCCAGAGGAACTCGCTGCCAGTGATTTTGCCCTCCCAGCAGATCATATCAACGCCTGCAAGACCTATCCTATGGACTACGTAGGCAATGCCGCGGGTAACGACTACAATGCTCTGAACTTGACAGGGGCACCGTCCACGGTTCCCACGGTTGCATGGGNNGGTAAGCTTTACGAGTAATAAACAAACAGTACCCATATGCTGACGATTTACAGTGCGATATATCCTCCTGTTGAGACCGAAGCTCACAGTTAGACTTTGTATCGAGTTGGTTGGTCATCTCGGTTTTTGGGTTAGTACACAGGGTGGCGGAGTTCTGATATTTCTGCTACATTAAACTTCTCGTTTTGTTATACAGGTCGTCTCTGTATCGCTCATCGAGTCTTATAGCATTTTTGCGGATGCATGCCAACATATATACATACTCGATGTCTTCAATCTCTTAATTTCCTTTGGTTTTACGACTTTCTGGTCGTCAATGTCATAGTGACAGCAAGATTCTATCAATCGCACCACTTATATTGAGCCAATGCGTGTTGAAACGTAAAGGTCGTGCCAATTTAAAGCCATTCTTGGTTGTGGTCAAAGATAAATAAATGAGGAAGTTGGCAGTTGGCAGGCTCTTTCGGGAGGCTGGTGAAACGCGACTGCCGATGACGACACAATTTGGGTGTGGACGCGGCAACCATGCGACCCTCATACTAACAAATACCCACGATTCGATTCGATCTCTCGCGGTGTCTGGACTTTAGATCAAAGCACTGAAGCATGTCACAGTGTTGTCAACCGCGACCGCCGCCAACATCACTGGAGAACAGGCAAGCCGCAAACAGGACCACGGCGCTTATCGTTCCGGCTTTGTTGATAGGAATTGTCGGCTATGTCACCTGGGTTGTGGTCGTTCTTATAGGCAGTAAGTACCATTTTACTTCGGATTGGACTGGCCTTGGAGAAGGAATGGTGGGTCGCGAACGAGACACTTGAGTGGGAGCCAAACGCCTTCTCCAAACTGAGCCCGCGTCCATCCTCGAAGCGTGCCAGTATTGAGAATCCCAGCTGACAATTCTAGCTAACTATCTTATCCAACATGGAGGTCGAAACGGCACGGGAATCGCTATTATAGTGCTATACTTTATGTTCTTCTTTCCGATGACAATCAGCTACCTACGACTTCTCATGACTATACCACATCCCGGGTATATTGAAAAAGGAAGTTCTACGGCTGCTACTCCTGTCAGGCCAGCAAAAGAAGCACCTCCTCAGCATAATATCCAGGCTTCATGTACGAGTACTAAAGTCCAGGATGGTACGAATCAGTCCGCCGACAAGAAGTACACTTCAACTCCTCAGGAGCCTGCAGTTACCCTACTAGACACAAAAGCCATCTTGAGTGGCGAATTACCTCCACCATCAGGTACAGAACGCTTCTACTCAAGGGATGTCTTTGCTTGCGACCAGAATGGTCTTCCAATCTGGTGCGGTGTTTGTAATAACTGGAAGCCCGATCGATCACATCACGGCAGCGATGTTGGTCGATGTGTCTTGAAGATGGATCATTTCTGTCCGGTTTGTACCAACCAAACATCGTTTCAGGAACTCCACTAACTCTTGTCTTCAAACTAGTGGGTAGGAGGAGTTGTGGGAGAGCGAAACTTCAACTTCTTCGTTCAGTTCTGCTCGTACGCTGGAATTTATGCTTTGTTTGTTATGATCGTTATGGCTATCTTTGTCGCTGAAGCCAGAAGCAGGGTATGTGCTTCTCTATCCTGCTTTCACCTTTTCTGTTCTGCAAATGCTTACCTTGCAAAGGGGAACTCGCCTGGTGGCAATTGGGTCGCTGGTGTAACCCTCGGGGCTGTTTTCACATTATTCGCAGGCGGCATGGCCATGACTAGTATCGGACTTGCCCTGAAGAACCTCACAACTATTGACAACATCGGCCACCAGAGAAGAGTCATGCACATCGCCGTGCTAGTTGACTCTGCGCAGCATCGCCAACCTAGACCCATGTCAACAGACCACGTCAAACCAACACACGGATCGGAAGACGACGAAGACCCTTGGCAGGGCACAATCACATATCCGTTGACAGTGATGCCCGATGCATCTTCAGAGACCACGTTACCACCACCCTCGTCGTCGCCACCCAGAACATTCGCCATCTTGCGCACACATCCTGGCATGAATCCTTGGAATCTTGGAGCCTTCCGAAACTTCAAATCTATCATGGGCAATCATTGGTATGACTGGTTCTTGCCTCTACGACACTCGCCTTGCTGCAATCACGACCGTGGCGATAGCATGTACGAACTCGGTCCGGATGTTGAGCGACTGAAGACAGATGCCGGTCTGTCTTCTTCGAGCAGTAGAGGTGGACCAAGTAGACGCAAGCATAGAAAACACCGACACCGCAGAGAAGACTCCGAAGATGTAGATATCATGGGTTCCACACTGGCCAATGTCAATGGCTCGACAGGGAGGGAGCGGAACAGTTTTGAGTCAGCTTAGTCGGTAGGCTTATTCTTGATAGCCACATACATCACTCGCACATACATGATTTAATACCCCTTTGGCGAAGAATTCAATGTTTTGTTTCACGATACTAAAGAACAAAAGACTGATACAAAGTGATCGCTAAGACAATAGACAAGGAACACCTCACACCATCTTCGACCGCCTAAGCTCCCACTCCTCAGCCCTCCTCAACTCCTCCTGCGCAAGCAGAATAGCCTTTTCCATCGACGCCCTCAAACGACCTTCGATCTCCTCAACCGGCGTCTCACAATTCATCAATCCGATAAACTTTCCAAACTTGCGTCTCTTGATAGCAATCCTCTCTGCATCTGTAAATCCCTGTGCAAATTGCACGCTTGGCCTTCTCTTGACCATGATCGCATTGTCTGCTTCCTCGGCAGCCAGCAGACTTTCCCACCATTGATTGCTCTCTACCTGCGATGCGGAGCGCAAGTGTTGGGCTACGCTTGCACGACGCTTGGCTAGCATTTCCTTGTCCCAGTTCATGCAGGCTGGGTATTGATGTGTATAGACGCTGGGGGTGGATTGATGGTAGTAGGAGGCGATGGCGTCGAGTTGTTCTTCGCTGAGCAGGTGGTAGTCGAGCAGTGTTTGAGGAAAGTCTGGGTGGGGTGCGCCGGTTGGAAGGGGCACGAGAGGTGCGAGACGCAGTTTCAGATGTGCAATTCTGGCGGCGAGTTGGTCCTTCTTGGTGGGGTTTGACATCTTGGTTTCTTGCTTCTGGTTTGTGTGTGTGGAAAGCATGGTTGTACTTAGATGACTACACAAGTGTTGTCTTTGAAACTTTCGACCAGCGAAAAGTGTTTGGAGAGCAGGTATACACAAGACAGCAGAGGAGGAAAAAGTGACAATGGATGATGAAGAGGGCTCAGGGACGAAGCAATACTTATTGAAAAGATCAATCGCGTCTTTGAAGACATGTCTTTTGTTCCACACAACTCTGGAGACATGATCAGCCACCGAGACATGCTTCTATATAAGACAAAGGACGGCTTTAGATTGGACACGCGTGGTTGCTTTGTCTTGGAGATTTGAGATTCTGGATCATGCGCTGGGATTTTCTTTGCCTCGAAACAGAATCGAGACGCTCACCGAGACAGACACTGCTTCCACTTTAGTTTGTGATATACGGAAGTGACAATGGATCGCAGATAGCTGGATCAGTGAGTGAAGAAGCTGAGGAAGGCGCACACAAGGCAACCTAACCCCTGAATTTCTGATCAGAAGTGAACTGAACTCCAACATGGTGTTATACTGACGCCGATTAGCATTTCCTCCATCGAACCGGTGGAATGGCGCAGTGGTCGTAGCTCGCGTCTCCCACACATGCGGCCAGAGTCCACTGGTTCGATTCTCCGGGTCGTCTGTAAATCCCCCTCTATTATGCCAGAGGTCTCAGTAATCCTCACCCGACAACAATAATGACGAAAGCTTACTTTTCTCTTCCCCTCCTAGCTTTCGGCGGCTAGAGAGGGTTTCTGTTTTGTCAATTTTTTGCGATGGTTTTGTTTTTCTTCTGCTCGGCAGTGGTGCGAGTTTGGTGGTATAAGAGTTGCGGAAGGGACAGTCCAAACATATACACGTCTCTGACACATCCACGAATTGATCAGACTTTGCTACTACTAGATATTGATGTTTTTGAACATCGTGTAAACTATGTGCACACTGAACTTCATTCGATCTCTACAACCATTCGCCATCTTTTCGCGGCGCTTGAGGCGTCCCTCCCAGCGGCACCATCTTGATCGTCTTCTTGAGCTCTTCCCTCCGCTTATTAGCCCTACTTTCGCGTCTATGATCCTTGATTCCTGCAAAGACACTTGGTCGCTTCTTCGCAGTATAAGAGGTCGCAGATGACGATGCTTGCAACCTCATGGGGTCATATGCTTCCGCCATTGATATTGGTTGCGGTGCACTGATAACAGGGAAGGAAGGTCTTTGCTGCCTGAAATTCTCGACCAGGCCTGATAACCCTTCCACAGCACTGACCGACGACTTTCGGACAAACACCGAAGTCATCTTGTTGGTGAGCGATTTCAAGGGCGCTTTTGAGCCTCCTGAGGAAGCTACGCTGCTGATGCCACTGTCATAGGACTGCTTTCTCTTTTCATAGAGCGGTTCTTGTGAAGCATGCGTGGTCTCGTCTGAGGGACGAGAGTGGATAAGAGGTAGCGTGTCCATCTCGAAAGTGACTTTACTGCCAGCCTTGCCGTATTCCCTAGCTAACTGCTCTGCATCCGCATTGATGCGTTGATAGAAGGCCGAAAAGGAGTCAAAGTCATCGATGCTTTGTTTCCTTGGTACAGTGAGAGGTGGCAGGTCTTTTGTTTTCGGAGCTTCATGCCCAGGGAATGGCGGTGAAATTGGTATACTGCCACTTGTGCTGCGACGACGTCTCGCGCCTGTAGACTCTGGTGTGAGAGACAGCTTGTAAGGAAATTTAAGTGCGCGCTCTTTGCCTTTGGGACTATTTCGCTGCTCGCGAGGGGTCACCCGCGAGTTGGGACTNTTGCTTGCTGCTGGCGAGTAAGCCTTGTTGCGCAACTTCTGATACTCAAGCTCTCGCTGTCTGGATATTTGTCTAGGGTTGAAGAACAATGGTTGTGGTACAAGCTTCATCTTCTCCTTGATACTGTTAGACGAAGCACTGTGCTTTCGAAATCCAGAAACTTTGGCTTCTTCCTTGAATAAAGCGTGGTATTCGTTGGCCAATCGCTTGGCCTCATCCATGAGACTTTCGTTCGAGGATGCATTCAGAGTCCTGTCTTCATATGCATCGATCACTTTGCTCTCGTAGTCGTTTAGTCGTCTGCTGCACCCTGTTCGTGACTGTTGACGAGGTCTGCCACGAGGCTCGTAATCCGCTGCTAGAGGTTCTGACGGACGAGTGATCGATATCTCGATTGGAGACTTCAACCGCTTCTCAACAGGTGACATCGACATTCGTTTCTCCTTGCTCATTTCGAAGTATTCATCGGACAATTTCGATCCATGCTTGTCAAAGTAGGTATTTCCTTGTAAAGGCCAGTCGTACGGGGTTGGTGACGGAAGACTCGGGCTCGGGAGGACGGGAGATAGTACTGGAGTCCGCAGAGGCACGATAGCTCCGAAAGATCTGCTGCCTCGGATTATGTGTTGCTGATTTGCCTTCTTGGCTGCAGCCAACGCCCTCATTTCTTCCGGGAGGAGTTGCTGCGCTCCCAGGGAACGTAAAGCGGCCTTTGCTTTGTCTAGTGATACGGTCCTGATATGTTGTGTCGCTATGCGTAGCATCTGAGGCGAAGGAGGCAGAAGCTTTTCTTGCCAGAAACGTTCCGGGGGTGGTGAAGGTGTTGATGTTCGGCTCGGACTTGGTGACGGACTGGTGATGAGCGGTACACACGGTCTTGGTGGTACGATTGATTGTGCCGTGTCTTTCAAGGTGAGTTCAGGAGTGCTCAAGCTGTACGCAGATGGTTGCAGAAAGAACGTTGGCATCAAGTACTCTTCATCCCTCCATGATTCGGGTGTCGGTGCATACTGAGAGACAGTGCGACTGTAGATGCTCGAAGTGCGTCGTGCTGAGATGGGGGATGACTCTGATGTTTTAATCATCGGCACTGGTGGTAGAGGTTTGTCTTGGTTCGGTGTCGGTGTCTTTCTGACGAAAGATTGAAATGATGGAGCCGACTTTTCGAAGCCGTTCAGACTGAGAGACGAAGACGAACGGTTCAATGCAGCTGGTGGCCGCCGCAGTTGAGGCTTCGGATGCTCCATCTCGGCAAATGAGCTCCTCGAGCTATGAGAGCCGCGAGAGAACAGAGAAGTCGGCTTCGAGTCGATAAACATGCTGTATCTTCTACGCTGCAGACAGGAATTGAATCATGGCAGGCAAACGCTCGAGACACAAAGAAGTACATATTGAAGTGTGATGTAAATGTTCGAATACTTCTTGACACAATGACGACGAAAGAAACAAAGAATGATGCATGGGAGTTCCTGCTTCCGGGTTGTAAACTTGGAGGATGTTCTTTGAACTCGAAGCTGGATTGTGGGCCTCGGCAGAAGCAGTTGCATTCCTCAAGCATTCAACCAACAATGCAATTCCGCTTCCGATTTCATCCTCGTTGACCTTGAGCATGCATTTGTTTCGATCTTCTCATGATTTATCCACTCCGAGCGAATCGGTGTGAATAGAGCGTTTATGCGGCTTCGACTCATGCGCACCTCTAGAATTACCTAGACCAAATGAGCCCCCGTCCGTCCTCAGGCGCATTGTTCGTTGTTCACAGTGCGGCAGTAGGCGTATTTATAACATCACCTATCGTCAGATCATAGCATCGTGTGGTGTTGGTCATGATTCATTATGCATTCGTTCTCACATGCTCATTTTGCATGATCGACGACTTGTTGATAGAGTTCGTTGGGCAGTTTTCGTACAAAGCTGATAGCCATGGGCTTGATCTTGGATGCTTGAAGGGGTGGCAACGACCTCAGGATTTGGTTTGGGCTGNNTCAACATTAGGCTTAGATACGATGTATGCAGTGGGTTGGATGGTGGACATACCTCGGGCTGCTCAGAAGCTGATCTCGGATGAGAACCAGCTGAGCGACGATGCACAGCAAGTTCAAGTGCGGGCCATAGGCGAAGCAGAAATCCCAGAGCTGAAGGACTTCGGGTAGAGGCGGTGTACAGGCACACATGGTCAGGACGCTCGCGAAAGCATAGATGCGGGCCTCCATGCCTTTGCTTGCCAGGTAGGCGGACAATTTTGGGTCTACGATGGCAAGGATTTTATCGACCAAGGCCAGGCCTCTGTGAACACCGTCCATGGAGCCTCTTACATAGCCAGGACACTCTACGGTGATGAAGCGATCGAAGGCAGCGAATGCCTCGGCCTCGCTGCGAGCGGCATACAAGAAGGGCGCAGCCATGACGTTCATGCCCTGGACATAACCAACGTGAGAAGCACCGTCGCCGGCCTCGGAGCCCTCGGTGCCGGTGATAGATGCGCGGTGTCTTGAGGTGGGCGATGTGACTAGGTCCGATTGGCCGTCGATGCTCCTGGGTACAGACAAGGTAGGGGGAGACATCCATCCGTTGACGCGGGCCTCGTGGGCATCATGTAGCTTCCAGGCGATGGCATTGAGGACGCGGGTGAGGCTGTTTTCGGTGACGCGACGGCGGAACAGAGGGTCGGTGGTCAGGGTGCGGAACGTGTCGTTGCGGATCTTGGTATAGGCAGGCGAGGCACCCTGTCGCACAAGATCGAGGTAGGCATCAGTACGCAGCGGGGGCACGTTGAGCAGGATGAGCCAGATGTAGATGCGCAGCTCGGACNNTAGAATGCGATATGTGTTAGGCGTTGCTACGAGAGAGGCTTTGTTTACATCAGGCCTCCTCACCATGCCATCGCTGTTGCTGGCTATGCCATCTGACAAGACCGTATAGCGCAACTCTTCCAGACCGGACTCTGCGTCGCCCAGGGGGCCTTTGAGGACCAGTGTTTCGAGACTGGTCATGTTGTTACGAGTCTACAGTCGACGTATTCGTCGTTGTTGTCCATAACCACGCGCATCCGTGGATGCAACTCGTGCTTCCATGCATCGCGTTTAAGCTTTTCTTGGCCAAGCTGCTGCGAGCAACTTCCACGTGATTTTTGGGCTTCTCTCCGTCGAACAAACTGCCGGGGCAGGCACCGGAAGCGCGTCTGAGCGCCTCTCCTTTGCTTCTACCAAACTCTCTTCGACATCGTCATTGCCTGTCTCCGCGGTGGCAGTCAGCCTCTTCTTGCGGGGGCATGGAAGGACTTGCGAAAGCCAACTTCCTGATATCAAATTCGCCCCCACGTCAGCTTTTCCCTGCGAGTGCGAGTCGTCGCAAACCTCTATTACAGACTATCAAAGCGCTTAGAAGATAGAAGATGTTTTTCCCACCGTGTTACGCGTTGCCAGTTTCAGGAGCACAAATACCACAGACTGTGATTTTTTGCCCCCTTGGGACCGACGCATTTGTTTGATATCTTCTTCGATTGTGCTACCTACCACCTGCTACCCGGATGCGGCTCCTGGTCTCCTCCAGCGTCGTCAAGCATAACGATCAACGACCATGCTCGCCATCCGCCGGGTCTCAGCCCGAGTTTTGCATGTGGTCGACTTCTAGATTTGCTTGTCTGAAAGAGCCCTAACGCCATTTCACAACCCAGGCTGTGGTACTTGGGAGCTCTTCACCCTGCCTCATCTCCATGCTGGTCCAAGGCTGAGAGAAATATCGATCTTTTGGAATGTCGTCAACCCTCGACAAAGCACGCCATGACATGCGTGTGTGATTGGGTCCAAATTCAGCGGGGATCGGTACCGAAGCCAAACGTCTAACCCCAAATTGGTATCACGTCAATGATGTGATACCAATGCTTTGCTGGGCGGCCCACTACTCCCATACGACGACGAAAGGTCGACGTCGATTCAAAGCTTGATGCCTGCCGGTTGAGATCTGGATCGATATGACCTCGTCGTCTCTACCGCTCTCGTCTCCCAATTTGTCTTTTCTCTGTCGCATCTCTGCACCTTCTTCCTTTCGAGTGCAGCACGCCTTGTCCGACTCCTTCGCGGTTTCGTGATTCGTCAACCCCGTTCGGCTTACGACCGTTCGTCCTAGTTCTGGCGCGAGTCTTTAACAATCCTTGTTGAGTTCTCTACCTCTGGCTTGCAGCCCTTGCCTCATCCAAATACGCCTCCCACACTTTCTGGAGAACATCATTTCCAGACCCCGGATTGCTCATCCAAGCCCTCTATTGGACAACAAACGTTCAGTCCTGAAGCAAGCGACATCTATAAACCCTCATCGGTCTCTCGATTATCCTCTTCATTGTTCATATCCACTTTTTATATCTCTCAACCCGGATCCCGGTGTGTTCATCAACACTACCTACACGCTCCTTCAGTATGCCTTCTAGAAGGGCTCAAGTTGGCCATGGCCTGGCCAAAGTCCTGGGCATCAAACTCGACTACCGTCAGGAGATGCAGGCTGAGAAGATCACCAGAGGAGAGTCTGTCTTCTCTGTGTCCAGTGCCGACACCTTCGTCGAAGCCGAGCCCACAGTGTGGGAGTGGTTCAGAGATGTCACTCCAAGCGGTTCGACCATGTTGAACTACGGTCGCAACCTCTTCCCCTTCACACGCTGGATCGGTCGTTACAATCTACAGTGGCTCTCCGGTGACCTGGTTGCCGGTATCACCATCGGTGCTGTTGTCGTTCCTCAAGGTATGGCTTATGCCAAACTTGCCGAGCTCCCTGTAGAGTACGGCCTGTACTCGTCTTTCATGGGTGTATTGATTTACTGGTTCTTTGCTACCTCCAAGGACATTACCATCGGCGTAAGTCCCACATCCTTGATCTTTTGATAGACTGCTTGCTTACAACCTCTACAGCCTGTCGCCGTCATGTCTACTATCGTTGGAAACGTCGTGCTTGAAGCTGGCAAGCACGGAAAATATGAAGGTCATGTCATCGCATCTGCACTCTCGATCATTGTCGGTGCCATCGTCTGTTTCTTGGGCCTTGCCCGCCTCGGTTGGCTTGTCGACTTCATCTCTCTTACTTCGATCTCGGCATTCATGACCGGATCTGCCATCAACATTTGTGTCGGTCAGATCCCCACGTTGATGGGTATCACCGGTTTCTCGACTCGTGATTCGACATATCTTGTTGTTATCCATATCCTTGAGCATCTCGGAAGAACAAAACTGGACGCCGCGATCGGTCTCACCGCTCTCTTCTTCCTCTACATCTTGAGATTTGGATTCCAGTACCTTGGAAACAAGTTTCCCAAGCACCGCAGGATATTGTTCTTCTGCTCGACTCTGCGCACCGTCTTCATCATTCTGCTATACACTCTCATCAGTTGGTTGGTCAACCGCAACATTCCTCACATCCACAAGAAGAACAGTTTGTCGAAGTTCAAGCTTCTAGGCACCGTACCCCGTGGCTTCAAGCATGCTGCTGTGCCCGTTGTCACCACGGATATCATCAAGACTTTTGCCAGCCAGCTTCCTGTTTCGGTCATCGTCTTGCTTATCGAGCACATTTCTATCGCCAAGTCGTTTGGCAGAGTCAACAACTACACCATCGATCCTTCTCAAGAGCTTGTTGCCATTGGTGTCTCAAACCTTCTGGGACCTTTCCTCGGCGCTTACCCTGTGACCGGTTCCTTCTCGCGTACCGCCATCAAATCCAAGGCTGGTGTCCGCACACCCTTTGCTGGTGTCATTACCGCCGTCATCGTCCTATTGGCCATATATGCCTTGCCCGCAGTCTTCTTCTACATTCCCAATGCGGTCCTCTCAGCTGTTATCATCCATGCTGTCGGTGATCTCGTCACTCCTCCCAACACTGTGTACCAATTCTGGAGAATCTCTCCGATTGAAGTTCTCATCTTCTTCGCTGGTGTCTTCGTCACCGTCTTCTCGTCGATTGAAAACGGAATCTACACCACGATCTGTGTTTCTATTGCCCTCCTTCTCTTCCGTGTCGTCAAAGCTCGTGGCCGTTTCCTCGGAAAAGTCCAAGTCCATTCTGTCATTGGAGACCATCTTCTTGAGGATAAAGACAAGCCTGAAGGCAACCACTACGATCACCAAAAGGCCGACCGCAACATCTTCCTGCCCATTGAGCACGATGATGGTTCCAACCCGATGATCGAGACTGACTCTCCTTACCCTGGAGTCTTCATTTACAGATTCTCCGAAGGATACAACTACCCTAATGCCAACCACTACCTGGACTACATGGTGGCTTCGATCACCAGGCAAACCCGCCGCAATGATCCCAACCCATATGCCAGACCAGGTGACCGTCCTTGGAATGACCCTGGCCCGCGTCGTGGTAAGGCTGCCGTAGTCGACAGTCATCTGCCAACGCTCAAGGCTGTTATTCTGGATTTCTCTTCTGTCAACAACGTCGATGTCACTTCTGTACAACACCTTATCGACGTCCGCAACCAGCTTGATCGTTACACCACCCCGGAGAAGGTGCAATGGCACTTTGCCCATATCAACAACCGTTGGACTCGAAGAGCACTTGCATCTGCTGGATTCGGCTACCCCACTGAAGAGGGTGAAGAATTCCAGCGCTGGAAGCCTATCTTCAGTGTCGCTGAACTCGGCGGTTCATCGAGTGCTGCTGCTGATGCTGAATACGCCATGAACCACCCCGAGCACAAGAGGCATCGCGATCTTGAGCTTGGCCAATCGCAAAGCAGAGAAATCACTGGCGAGAGCAGTGAAGCTTCTAGCGATATCGACCAAGCCATTCAGAACAGCAAGGCCTACGGCTCGCAGGTCAACCAGAAGAAGATCGTTGTGCATGGCCTCAACAGACCTTTCTTCCATATTGATCTAACAAGTGCTCTGCAGAGCGCGATTGCCAACATCTCGAACCCTGCGGCTACTGCCGATGTTGTTCAGGACAAGCAACACTAAAGGACTATGTCTCCTTGATTGTCTTTTTTCACATGTTTTGCCTTTTCTGATGTTATGACTAGCGATATTTTCGGGTTGGGCTTAGGGGGGAGAGTTCAAAAGCAAGCATCATTTGTATATATGTGCTCGATGCTGCACTTTATTGGCTTGTAGAATACATGTTTGTTCGCATGCAGAAGATAGATGCATCTGGGTCACCGCACGTATTGCATTTAGTATTACCGGCATTTTCTTCGAATTCCTCAAACCACTCTCTCTTTTGCTTGTTGATGCCTTGTGCCATGAATGAACACATCGTCATGCGATGGTCATCCATGTAGATCGTAATGCAGCATCTCTGGGGCCCCAGGTTGCTTGACTGCGAGCCTTGCCTGTATCGGGTGCGTACCTGAATGTCTTTTGTAACGCTTTGTAGCCTCCCCTCGTGGCACGACCTGAGAGAAAACCTCAATCACGGCCAGAAACATTCACATCTGAATCCACATCCGGGCATCCAACACTCGACGTTGTGATGCACATGCAGAGCCGCACAGCGCAACGTCCTCGTACAGCTCTTCACCAAAGCAGAGCCTTCAGTTAAAACACGTCAATGCTTTTTAATGAACATGAACGGCTCCTTCGACAAAAAAGTTCAACAAGTCGAGCAATGAACCATCAAAGCACACGCCTTTTTTTTTTTTCTGAATCATGCCATCACGATCCTCCATGCGATTTTTACAGGCTCTTTCCTCAACGCTTGACTTCCAAGAAGACGCATGTCAAAATCGTGCCGAGTGTACGCCGTGACGCCGGTGGCCTTGGTATCAACCAACGCATCCACACACACGCGCTTTTGTTGAAGTTGGAAGTTGGAAAACAATTTGACCGCTTTGCATATCATGACTTCATCGTTCTTCGTGGTGAGAAAAAAGACTACCCGAAAGGGAAAGTATTGGCATGTGTGGAGGAGGCAGTGGAGAGACGTGAAAAATAATTATCCCCGAGACATGGCCGTTAAGAGGTGCAAGTTCTCGGAAGTGGGTTCGCGGCTTTCCGATGACGGGTTGACGAGGGTATTCGCGGCGGAGTGATATGGGGCGAATATTGGGCGGGTGGAAGAAGGAAATTTTGACTTGGAGTCAGAGATCGCAGCGTAACGTCTGGTATAGGGGCATGCGCTTGGATAAGGAGGAGGAGAAGGAGGATCCTAAGTGAACGTGAATTATTATGAATGCGTGGAAGAGTGCATGGTCTGAGCTCATTCGCATCAGAACTTCGCAGCGTGCGTGCTTGACGTGGTGATGAGTCTTCTTCACATGGCATGTCAACATTATCATCAACATCATCAGCATCTATCGACATACTACTCATAGGAACATCTCAGCAATCTCACAGCACTTGACAACTTATTGCAACCACTACATACGATCTCAGAAAATCCAGGAAACCATCTTCAATCGCACCAACATGCCAGTCCCCAATATCAGCCAGGTAGTGCCCGGCGCAGCAGTCTCCATCATCCTCAAAGCAGACCAACCCACCGGCCGTCAAGTCCAAGGCGTTGTCCAAAACGTACTGACATCCGGAAATCACCCACGAGGCATCAAAGTGCGGCTCAGCGACGGTAGAGTAGGTCGCGTACAGAAAATGCACACTGGTGAAATGCCACCCCAAGAAATATCTGCAGCACCCAGCTCTGCGTCAAGAAGCACAAGACCACCTAGGGAGAGATACAATCGTCGATCAAAGTTCCAGTCTAGGGATATCAGATTGGATGAAGATGGTGAGGCGCCAGCCGAGGAAATTGATCTGTTTGCGTACATGAAGCCAGCAAAGCAGAAGAAAAAGGGAGGTGCGAAAGCTCAGGCGCCGGTGGAAGAAGATGAGCCGATTGTGGAAGCCGCGACTACTGCTAGCTGCCCTGTTTGTGGAAACTTCGAAGGAGACGAGACGGCAGTCGCACATCATGTCGAGTCGCACTTTGCTTGATCGGACACCATCGACCATAGACATCGTCAAATTTTCTTCTCACCAGCTCACAACCATCATCACTCTCGGCTTCCAAATCGCTCGATCTAGATACAATCCTGCCACTAGCTCGCTTCGACATGCGAACGGTCTTCTCGCGTATCCAGTTAGACAGAGAGGGCTGAATCCGACTCGACTCGACTCGGAAGACAATCGAAACTTGATGGAAACAACTCTGCCGCAAGGAGCGCAACAGCGGTTGGGATCCCTCTTGGTTGTCTGGAAATAGCCAAAGGTAAAAAGCACACCTTGAGATCGGCGCTGTCGCGACAGTGGATGTCCCAGGGAGTGCAGGAGTGGCTCTTCCTGTCGACAGCTTCACGCTGGTTCCCTTGGAACTTCGGTTTGTGACTTTCGTTTCGACCTTTTTAGGATATTGTCTAAGCATCGGAAGCTCCTGCGCGAGCCTCGAGCCCATATTGTCGCTGGTATGATCGATATTGCTCTTGCTTGGCAGCAGTGGTCTCTCGGGCACAAGGTCAAAGTCCCCCTCAACATGGTCGAGAAGAGCAGGGTGCGAACAGAGATCGTCGTAGTCGAGAGTATGTACATGCCATGGGCAGATGTCAGGAAGTCCGTATGAGGTATTACAATTGACAAGGGCGGAGAAGAGCGTAGGGAAGCAAGCTTCCATAGCGTAGCAGGCTATTCGGACTTTATGAACCAAGGCTAAAGGAGGAATCGAGCAGTGGACAAGGAGTATACGATGGACAAAGGTCTGTTCCTTGTCGATTGTAGCTTCGACATTAGACCGAAGGAGCTCGAGGCTGTCGTAATCGCGACGTCGGGTCCGGATACCTGTGGCGGCGATGCCATTGCTAGTGTACAAAGGTGCTCTTCTTCCTGCTTCACGCAGGATCTGACAGTAAATGCCCCAAGAATGGATACAAGCAGAGCATGAAAAACACTCAAGCTGTGCAATGAGTTACTCAACGAGCCATGTGTATTGTTGAATACTGGATATCAATACGGCGCCTGTGAAGATCAAGACACTTGAGGTGTTGCTATGCTGGTTGGCAGGGAACGTGTGTAGTAGACGTGCTTTGTTGATCATAAGGATCCAAAATAACGTAAGGGCGATATATTGACCACAACCGATATTATTCTTACTCGAAAGCATTCACACAGTCTCTGTATATGTGTGATATACTGTACCGACTGACTTCCACGTCATTCTGGGCGTTCATTGATGGAAAGAGCAATACAATATCTGCAGACAGGGTTGTACCACCAACAACCGAGACTTGGTCGTGCATGTTCTCCTCGGCGACCAACATGTCTCAGTCCATTCCCATGCTCGACACAAAAGGCTATTGTAGAAAGATCCTGGAATCCGCGGTAAGACTATCTACTGCATTCCCAACCTCCCAACCTCACAGCTAGTCTTGACACCCCTGATCATCTCACTCATGACCAATCCCGTCCCCAAACTCAACGAGATACCCCAAGGACCATGCCCAGCAGCCACAAAAACACCACTCTGACTACTCACACCTCCCAACTCCTTCTCATGAACCCTACACAAGATAGGTTCTCCTCTAGGAGTAATAGGTCTAAAGCACAATCCCTCCCTCAAAACCTCAATCTCTCTACCAGGAACCCCACACATCCTCTCCGCCGTCTTTTTCAACTCTGAAATAGCAGAGTCTTCAATTTTTGCTTCTGTGGCTAGTGCAGGTAAAGGAATGGTACTGTCGTTGAGACCTGCAATGTAGATTTCTCCGCCTACGCGACTGATGAGTTCGGGGCTGAAACCCGAGGAAGAGGTGCTGAAGATTGCGTGGCAGCCATTGGGTTCGTGTGAGGTTGTCCAGTGGGGAGAGGAGATGACGATGCTGTGGCCTGCAAAGGCGGAGACGGGGAGGTTGAGGGATGAAGAGGGGAAGAGTTTGGAAAAGATTTTTGAGGTCCAGGCGCCGCTGGCGAAGAGGAGAGATGTACAGGGGACTGTTTTTGCTGTGTTAGCATGAGGGTTAAAGTAGAGGACATGACGAAGGGAAAGTTTACTTTGTGTTTCTGAGCCATCATCTTGTTTGATGCTGATGGCAGTGATTGTGTTATTGGTATCCGTGATTATAGATGATGGTGTTGCTGGTTGATGGACTTGTACACCTCTCTTCCTACATTCACCCAGTAGAAATTGTGATAGTCGCAGAGGATCTCTGTTTCGATCAGCCTTGTTGCAAAACTCGATGAAGCATACCACTCACACTTGAGCAACCGTCTCATCCGCAGAGATAACATCATACTCATCACACTTCCTCCTCGTCAACCACGCCGGCCCCTCACCTTCAACAAATTCATGAGTTCCCGCAACCTCAGCTCTACTCCTTCCATTTTCCAACCACTCACCGTCCTCACCTTGCTCGTCAACAAAATCTCCACCATCAGCAAACGAAGCACCAGTACTCCTCGCATACCCCCACTTTCCAGCTCCATCATACTCATCCGCAAGTCGCTTATGAAGTTTAAAAGACAGCAAGCCAAGCGGTGCAGATGCAGGACCGAACCAGTCGGCAGCGAGAAATCCTCCTGCTTTACCAGAAGCAGAAGCGAAAAGTTCGGGTGACGGGTCGATGAGATGGATAGAAGAGCCTGGTATAGATTGAGAGAGGTAGTAGGCAGTGGATACGCCGATGATGCCTGCTCCTAGGATTACTGTGGATTGAGGTGTGGCCATTGTGGGAAGGTGCTGTTCGCAGATTTTGTCCAGGAAAATGATAGTACTCAGATTCCCGAGACGTGCACAAGCGTCAGAGATCAGGGTGGAGAGTGTTGTTGAACAACAGTCACAAGAACAAGCTAAATGCTCAGGTGTCGCAAATGAAACCTACTTGTATGTACTGATATAGATATGGATGCTGAGGCAAAAGAGGAAGGTGAGTGGAAGGGACGCTGAGTGACGTGTGCGGGGGTGGGGCTCTCGAGCAACTTCATCCGAAGTTTTCGTGTCCAGCAAACACAGCTTCTTGTACCAACAACCAACAGACATCGTCATGGCCGCCAGCAAAGTTGTCATTCTCACCGGCGCATCGCGAGGTAAGGAGTAACATGAAGTGATACGAAGAAACTTGAATTGATGAAAGTACANNGGCATTGGCCTTGCAATTGCACACTATCTGCTTAAACAATCATGTCGCGTCGTGACGGTCGCCAGAAGCCGCGAGCCCATGGAAAAGCTGAGCCAGCAATACCCTGGACAAGTCGAGATCCTTGCTGGCGATCTGTCGGATCTTTCGCTCGGACAGAAGGCGGCAGACCTGGCCAAATCCAAGTGGCAGCGCCTGGACAGCATCATTGTCAACCACGGCATTCTTGATCCCGTCAAGAGAGTCGCCAACGTTGAAGCAGAAGAATGGAGACAGTTATTCGACGTCAATGTCTTCTCAGCCATCGCTCTGGTAAGTTGACCCTCGACTGTTGAAGAAGAGGACCGTAACTGACCAGTGTTGCAGGTCAAGGCATGTTTGCCGGCACTCCGCGAATCCAAGGGCACTATCATCCTTTGCTCTTCCGGTGCAGCCACGGGTGCCTACTCCACTTGGGGAGCGTATGGTGCATCCAAGGCTGTCTTGAATCACCTTGCCATGACGCTTGCTGTTGAGGAACCCGATCTGACCACAATATCTTTGAGACCTGGTGTCGTAGACACATCGATGCAAGAATCTATCCGTGATTTCCACAAGACCAGCATGGACGCGAAGGATGCAGCCAAATTCAAGGAGCTGAAGGAGACTGGAGGTCTGCTCAAACCTGAGCAGCCTGGTCATGTCATGGCCAAGCTGGCACTGGGCGCGCCCAAGGAATTGAACGGCAAATTTTTGAGCTGGAACGATGAGGCGCTAGCGGCCTTCCAGGAGTAGTAGGCTAGAATAACTTTTCGAGATGTTAGTCAAGTACACTACAAGACAAACTCTGAAGTGAAAGTGGATTGAGAAAGTGCAGTCAGTTGAAAGATGAAAAGCAATACATTGTGATCACCATACGGCGTAAGCCTTCAGGTTTAGCATGGAATGATTTTGTTCATCACGCAAAGGGAGTGGAAGTGAAGTGAGGAAGGTACTAACCTTACAATGTGCGAGACTTGTACGGTGCTGGATTTGGCGATTGTGCTAACTGTACCTAGACATGTGTTGGTAAACATGAAACTGACAAAGATTGTTGAACAGTGGAAGATGGAAAGGTTGTTTTCAGGTAATCGAACCATTATTTTATTCCTCAAGGATAATAGGTGGTGTATATAACATAATTTTCTCATCATGTAGAAAAAGAAGAGATTGTGCTCGATCAGTACTAACCTCGAGTGTTCCAGCCGAGTGTCGCTATTTGCGCACACTCAGCGCGCGCCTCCAAATTCTTCCACCGAGTTCAATGCTTTCATGGATGCATGATATATGCAGAGCTTGGATGAAGCAAGGAAGGGTAAGAGATCTGTCTGGTTGCAATGTTAGCCGACATTCATCCAAGTTGGTCTTGATCCATGAGCGGGTTGTGCAAAGATTCAAATCAGAGAGTCCGTTTGGTTGAGACAGGTAAATCACCACGTAAAGGTAAGATAGGGGCGACACGAATGTTCATCCTTGAATGTGCTGGGAGAGAGGAGGAGAGGAAAATGATCACATACCTTTTGCGCTGTTGTTTGTTGGAAGGAGAAAGTGGAAGGAAAAAAGTCGCGTCCGAAGAAATAGGCTGTGAAGCTCGGACGCGTTGGTGACGGAAGCCGTGCTGCGGCATGTACCGGCTGTGATGGTCCATGTGAGACTTAAAGCTGCTGCATTCCCCCAAAGTTGCGCGCTGCTGTATTAGGATGTTGACATCGACACTTCTTTGGCCGAATCGTTGATCTCACTGTGCTTTCAGGCTTCAACAACCAACCCAAATCATGTCGGACAAAGAATTCGCTGGTACGGACACACAAACTACCACCAAACTCTTTTCGCGACCGAAGCATGCTAATGATTCACAGGCAGTGATGAGCTCACTTTACCCAGAGGTATGCGCCACTCCGAACCTGGATTCTACCGATCAACACGACTGACAAGGACAACACAGNCGACGGTCCAAAAGATCATTACTGAAGTACTGGCCAATGACCAGGGAATGTCCTTCGCCAAGGAGACTCGAGACCTGCTCATAGAATGTTGCGTCGAGTTCATCACCATGATATCCTCCGAAGCCAACGAGATTGCCGAGAAAGATGCAAAGAAGACCATTGCCTGCGAACACATCGTCAAGGCTTTGGAGGAGCTAGGATTCAATGAATACGTGCCGGACTTGCTAGAGGTTGCGCAGCAGTTCAAGTCACAACAGGCGGTGAGTCGACATGGAGAGACAGCTTGGACGAGGGCAGTGCTGATATAGAGCCAACAGAGCCGCGAAAAGAAGCAGAGCAAGATCGAGCAGTCTGGCATGACCGAGGAGGAACTGCTTAGACAGCAGGAAGAGCTGTTCAGATCAGCAAACGAAAAGTTCAACGCTGGACCTGCAGAGCCAGCTGAGCCTGCAGCATAATGAAAGACAGAAAGAAGAGACACAGCAGCTGGGACCAGAGGCGTCACGGGCGTTTGGGACGATACGATTCTTCTTTAGATACCCCCATCTCTACTGGTTTATGTTAGATTAAGGCGCAACACGGCATGGAAGGAGCGAAGCATAGAACCATTACTTTGATGATGGAGGCTCTCCCTCACAAGCAAATGACAAGAGGCATTTGAGGCATTCTGATAGCAGCGAAGACGCGCATGTGACAGCAGTGACGTGCCAGCAAGAATCCAGCCAAGACCCCACACTCTCGTGGCCTCGGCCGCCGAGCATCATCGTCCATCTAACCAACGAGCACCCAAGCATAGCGGCCACATCTTTTTGACCATCACACACCTACATGCCCTTCCTGTCTCACGACTAACACACAGCCATCATGTCAGGCCTCGAAAAGGCTCTCTTCAACCTCAAGGTCCCCATCCCTCAGTCATCTTCCGCCCACGTCCACCCCACTAACACCATCCTCCCTCACAGTNTCACAGCCAAACAACTCAATCGCCAGTCCGCCAAAGCCGGCAAAGACGAAAACGCCGAAAAGGCAAAACTGAAAAAGGCCATCCAGCAAAACCACGGCGACATTGCCAAAATCTACGCCCAGAATGCCATTCGCAAGCAAAACGAGAAGCTGAACTTGTTGCGCTTGGCCTCGAGGATCGATGCTGTCGCTAGTAGAGTGCAGACTGCGGTGACGATGCGTCAAGTCACTGGTAGCATGGCGAACGTGGTAAAAGGCATGGATGGAGCCATGAAGGCCATGGATCTGGAAAAGGTGAGTGCCGTGCTGGTGCCTCGGGCTTGAGATACGGAAGCTGCTGAAACAAGAGCGTACGCTGACAAGAAGGACTCTACAGNNATCTCAGCCGTCATGGACAAATTCGAGACTCAATTCGAGGACTTGGATGTCGCGACCGGATACTACGAGAACGCTACCTCCAGCGCTACTGCTGTAGGCACACCCCAGGAAGACGTCGACAGACTGATGTCACAAGTCGCCGACGAAGCTGGTGTCGAACTCAACCAAGAGATGGCCGGCGCAACTCCTGCACAGGGCATCAAGGCCCCCGCCAACCCTACCGAAGTTGAAGAAGACAACCTGGGCGAGAGATTGAGAGCTCTAAGAAGCTAGACGGGGAAAGAGATATGAGATATTGGAAGACGCGAAAGACCTTTGAATCAGCAGGCTCGGAGTTTTGGGCGTCTTTTTCGATGCTTATGGGATGGCGTGGATTCGATCGACAGATGCATACCTACTGACTACTTGTGTATATCATGTTTCTTGTTCAAACCCATCTCTTGTTGGTGCGAAGTGCGCTTCTGGACTTTCGCTCTGATGATTCGCCTGTAGTTGGGAGTTCGAGTCAAGGTCTTGAAGGCATTAGCTTTTCATGTCTATCTGGCCTACAGGCTCTGTTCTATCTTTGTTTCGTGTCGCGGAAATATCAAACTCATTACATCTATACATAAAACAGGAAAAAGCGAGTTTCATCTTCTCAACTCATGCCTAGAAAAAGCAGTTCTTTAATAAACGAGCGTATCAGTCATCCAATCTTCAATCCTTCATTTTTGCCCTCTTTCGTTCCTCAGAGGATGTTCTTAGGCCATACTTTTTGCGCCGTCTAAGCAAACTTGCCATTGGCACCGCCCTTCTGCAGTCTCACGGATCCAGAAGCCAAGCGGTTGGCTTCGGGTCTCTGGTTCGGNGGTGCGCCGGCCTTCAATGCCATCCATTTGTCCTCGGGAATGGTCAAGCAGTTGATGCCCAGGTAGTTGCAAATGCTGTTGCAGACATAAATAGCCCAGCGCGCATACACAATGGTTGCAAATGCAAAGTAGCCTCTCAGGAACCAGAGCTCTGAGCTTGCAGATAGACCAGGAAGGCCGATGTAGGGCAGGTTGATGAGAATGCTGCCAATGAGGAGAGGAGCCAGCATAACAGTCCACATGGGGAAGTCCTGGCGGGTAAGATGCGCAAGGATGATCTTGGTCGTCATGCGGCCAAAAGCTGGCGAGAGGGTGAAGCAGAGCAGAGAGAGATGGTTGTCCTTGAGCAGATGCGAGTAAGGTGATCCCAGCCATGCGCACAAAGAACCAGTAAAGACGAAGATGGGAGCCCACTCCAGCAATGCAGGTGTCAAGGATTGGTTTCTGCCTCTTCGAGCCTGGTATACGTTGTTGACGCAATCAGGGATGTGTGCGAGACAGAGTCCGAGAAGCAGAATGGGAGCCCAGAGATCGAGGAAATTGGTCTTGCCGAGGAATTGCTCGTGGCCGACAAGATTAGCCAGGGGGCTAGTCCAGAGCGTGGGGCCGTAGTAGCCAGAGAGGATCATGATGAGCGCGGCAATGATGAGACCTTCGGTGGGGCCGTTGAAGTAGCCGAGGAACAGGGTGTGAGTGTGGTATGTTTCCCAAGTCGAGAAGAACATGGGCAGCGTAGGGATGAGTGCGGTAAGAGCACCGAGACGTGTTGAACCGAGACCCATGGCGGAAGTTTCGAGGAGGGATGCGAGCGTGCAGTTGAGACTGTCGATGCCGTGNACTATTTGGTTCAGCCTTGTCAGCGTTGCTCCTGCCAGATTGAGATGATGGAATGGCACTCACTCGAAGAGCTCACCCAGGGGCGAGGAAGTTCCAGTGCGACGTGCTTGCTTGCCGTCGATGTTATCCATGGTGCTGTAAGCCCAGATGCCGAGGGCGTAGCTGTAGTAGACCCATGACGGGGCAAGACCAGTCAAACCAGGGTCATAAATGAGCATGAGGATAACGTTGCTGAGGATGCAGAAGAAGCCCAGCAGCGTCACCATGTTGGGAGCCAGCCATAGCGGCAGAAATTCGACGCATGCGTTCCACNNTGTTTGTTGGCACAGCTCAAGTCAGCCCTTGTTGTCTCATTCCATCTTCAATGTCTGGTTGTATGCAGGGTCCCGGAGTGCCCTTTCCCATGCTCTTGCTTGTTGTACATGTTCTTCGTGGTCTTGCCGAGCAATCCGAGGAGTGAAGGGTCGCGATCAACGTACATAGTGTTTCAGGACATAGCGCGAGGTGAACGACTTGTCAACAGACGAGTACTTGTAGAGCTTCAGGTTGGCCAAGGCGTCTTCTGAGAGAGGGCCCTCGAGCGTGGACGAATCTTGTCCGGTCAGCCTCTTGTATTCTTGCTGCAGCAACTCGCTCATAGTGTGAAGGGATAGGAACTTACTGGAACTCATTTCCAAACCGGCGACACTAATAAAAAAAAATAACCTTAGTCAAGCAACAACAAGGAACCGTCCGGACCGCGACTTGACCGAAAGCCCGCACTGTTCGCAATCCTCTCCTGAACCGGATACGCTGCTGTACGCTGTGGGGGCACCACCACAAACGCTCGGAACAGTGACAGATCGATTCAACATTCGATCCCAACATCGAACAACCTTACGAATCTTGCTATAGAGATGCAGAGCGGTATATAGAAATCGACCATTTCCAGGAAGAGCCTTTGTAAAGTAAATCCTGTCTGGACAGCACTCAACTTTGATCAATTTCGAAGACATATGGTGATACAACATCAGCGATGAGGGACAAACAACAGACTGACTTGGCCAATCCATCATATAACACAGCTCCATAATTCAAGGCGATCCGGGACGTGGCACATGATCGAGATATCAAACATCCTGCGTTATAGGATCTCACAATGTTGTGACAAAGGTCACCAGGCAATTTCACTCCAGTCCACATAACACATAGTAATGGATATTCTTTTGACATGATTGTTCATTGAAGTTTTTGACTGCTTTTCGTGTAGCTTTTGATCTCGCAAAAAGCAAGCCAGCAACACCCTAAACTGCCTGTTTGAGATGCCCGCTGCCATGCTAGCGTCACCTGCATCTCATAAAGAAAAAATCGAGCATAGCTTTTTGAACCCAGCTGTACCAATCTAAAACACATGAAGAAAGAAGAACGCCCATTAAACCGTCATACGATGCAAGACGTTTACCTGGTGGACATGGCCTTGGTAACGACACGCTTGAGGGCCAACTCCTTCTTCTTGAGGTCGTCGGCAGAGGAGTCCTCGATCTCGAGCTGGGCCATGGCGTCGCTGAGAGCAGACTCGATCTTCTCCTTCTGGTTGCGCTTGAGCTTGAGCGAGAGAGTGGGGTCCGAGACGATCTCCTCGACACGGGAGATGTAGGACTCGAGCTGCTGGCGGGACTCGAACTTCTTGGTGAAGGCCTCGTCGGAGGACTTGAACTTGGCGGCATCCTCAACCATCTTGTCGATCTCAGCGGAGCTGAGCTTACCGACAGAGTTGGAGATGGTGATGTTGGCGCTGCGGCCGGAGGTCTTCTCGGTGGCGGTGACCTTCAGGATACCGTTGACATCGACCTCGAAGACACACTCGAGAACGGCCTCACCGGCGCGCATGTGGGGAATGGGAGCAAGAGTGAATTCACCCTAAGAGATTTGTCAGTATGCTGTTGAATGTTTGTGGAACGGAGCTCTCGACTTACCAAGCTCGTGTTGTGAGCGCACTCGCTGCGTTCGCCCTGGTATACGGGGAATTGAACCTATTAAAAGAGTTAGCGAGATGTTCTGATGTTATAGAACAAGTTGTGTTGTGATTTGGTGAAAGTATGATGGACCCTGAGTGAAGCCTGAGCAGCGACGCTCCAAGCCAAGCCATGCCAAGCTTTTGACCCATCGAAATGCAGAACAGCAACTCAGATGCAAAGAGATCCACTGAGAGTCGTGATAATACGAGCTTTCAATGGACAATCCAATATCTTGAGATACCACTTTGCACTTCGATAAGTGAAGAACTCCTCGCGTTTCCACTGAGACGATAGAGCGTTGAGCCTCTCAGTGGGAGTGCAAACTGGCAGCTTTGCTTTGTGCATTGCGATGGATGATGGAAAAGGGACATTGAGATTGGGGATTGATGCAGAGGGTGACCTACAGTTGTTTGGCCGTCCGCGACGCTTTTTCATTGTTAGCCTAATTCAATGATTTATGTTAACATGGTAAGAACTTACGTGGTGAAGGTACGCTTCTTGATGGTGGGAACAGTGGTACCACGGGGAACGACGGGGGCGAAGATGTTACCCTCCATGGCGACACCGAGGGAGAGAGGGCAGACATCGAGAAGGAGGAGGTCAGCGGTGTCGGCGGAGGTGGCCTTTCCGGAGAGGATACCGGCCTGGACGGCGGCACCGTAGGCGACGGCCTCGTCGGGGTTGATGCTCTTCTCGAGCTTCTTGCCGTTGAAGAAGTCGGAAAGGAGCTTCTGGATGCGGGGGATACGGGTGGAACCACCAACAAGGACGATCTCGTCAACCTTGGACTTCTCAATGTTGGCATCCTTGAGGACCTGCTCAACAGGCTGGATGGTGCCATTGAAGGCCTTGGCGTTGATGTCTTCGAAACGAGCACGGGTGATGTTGGCGTTGAAGTCCTCGCCGTCGAAGAGGGAGTCGATCTCGACGGTGGCCTGGGTACCGTTGGAAAGAGTACGCTTGGCACGCTCGCAAGCAGTTCTCAGACGACGGAGGGCACGAGCATCGCCGGATAGGTCCTTCTTGGTCTTGCGGGTGAATTCCTTCTTGAAGTGGTCAAGGAGGTTGGTGTCGAAGTCCTGACCACCCAAGTGGGTGTCACCAGCGGTGGCCTTGACAGTGAAGACACCACCCTGGATGTGGAGGAGGGAAACATCGAAAGTACCACCACCGAGATCGTAGATGAGGACGTTGCGCTCCTTCTCGGACTTTCCGGAACCGAGACCGTAGGCGATGGCGGCAGCGGTAGGCTCGTTGATGATACGGAGAACGTTGAGGCCAGAAATGGCACCGGCATCCTTGGTGGCTTGACGCTGGTTGTCGTTGAAGTAGGCGGGGACGGTAACGACGGCCTTAGCGACCTTCTTGCCGAGCTTGACCTCAGCGACCTCCTTCATCTTGAGGAGGACCATGGAGGAGATCTCCTGGGGGAGAAAGTCTTGGTCTCGCCGAGGTACTCAACCTGGACCATGGGGGCACCAGCGTTGTCGACGATCTTGAAGGGCCACGACTCGATATCCTTCTTGACGGTGGGGTCATCGAATCTACGACCGATCAAACGCTTGACATCGAAGACGGTGTTGGCGGGGTTCATGGCGGCCTGGTTCTTGGCGGCCTCACCGATCAGACGCTCCTCAGCGGTGAAGGAGACGAAAGAAGGGGTGGTGAAAGAACCCTGCTCGTTGGCGACTGTGGGACATGCGAGTCAGAATTGTGTGCAGAAGGCGATTGAGAGCTGCAGAAACAGCTCCAGAGAGAAAAACGTACTGATCTCGACATTGTTACCGTCGTAGTTGGCAACGCAAGAGTAGGTGGTACCTGAAATTCAGTTAGCAATTTTGATCTTGTGGGCTCGCGCTTCGGCAATGGAGTTGGGCGCAAAAACTCACCAAGATCGATACCGATGGCACCGTCGTAAACCTCGTCGCTCATGATGAAGGATATAGAGGGGTATAAAAGGGAAAAAAAGATGGGGAGGGATGGAAGGAGGAAGAGGTGAGAGGTGCTGGGAGCTTAAGAAAAGGCTTGCGGGTAGGCGATTTTCGATTTTCCNNGCGGTCTGTGCATCTCATCTTNTTTTCACTTCCCCATTTCGTCCGAGGTCTGGATGCCAAGCCCNNTTATTCATTCTCACTCCCCAGCAAGCTGAAGTGATCCCTTGGTTGATGCGGTTCGTGCAGAGGTGCTTGTTTGCTGAGCNNTGGGCCGACTTGATATTGAGCCGAGTGAGGCAACTGCCCTTTTCGTCGAGGCACCTTCCTCAAGGCAATTGGTCTTCGAGAGGCAACTACGAGTGCCTTCCTCGCTTAGCTCACTACAACCACAGCTCATGGCACCTCGTCGCATAACTCAGCCATGAATGCTCGATGTGCTCCTTACAGTCATGATAATATTCGGTCAGGTAGAAATACGCGTTCATTGTCGATGTTGGGCAATACTCTCGATGCCAGCTCAAACTCGGCTTTGGTGGTGTTGCTGCTGCTGCTGCCGCCAGAACAGGTCTGCTCTCTTTAGATATTGGTCTTGCCGTACGAATTGGCCTGCAAGTGCCCCATTCATACCAGTGATCTGGCAGAATGATCGGTATTGCCATGATGCATATGTATCGATGAGCAGTTTTTCATGCATACTGCCACTGCCGGTATTCAATTGATCTGTGACAGTCCACAGTATCTGACCTGCGTGAGCCTTTCTCGCCTTTGCAGCCTAAAGGCTTACAGGAAGGCAACTTATCTAAAGCCTCGACTATCGACACGACCATTGCCTGTGCAAGCGAAAATGAACAGCAAATCGAAGTCCTCGAGGCAGGCAAGATGATCTCCTACCCAGCGGCGGATGAAGATGCGATAGTTTTTGATAGGCAAGGGAATTCTCGAGTTAATGGATCCTTCTTTGGCAGGTGGCGATGCAGTCCCGTTCAGAGAACAATAAATGCGGAAGGCACCTTCAAGACATGTCTGTACCAGGTCTCAAAGCATGTACTCGATTCTCCCCACCACATGCGACGACGTATCTGACAGTCACTGTGTTTTATAAAGAGGACATCTAACAGGATGGAAAAACACTTCTGAAAAAACATTGAACAGCAGTAAGACGAGCTGTTTGGGCAGGAGCGATCATCAGAGCAACTGCTCTCTTGGTAGCCACAATCCGAATGGTTCAATGTCATCGCTTACTACATCGTAACACATTCACTACAGTGAGCCTACGGTCAAAGATCTTACAACCATCCTTGAGTTCCGCCATCTTGTTCTAACCAAGAAGACAATGAGTATAGCTTCCTTCCCATGGCTCAACATCGCCAATCTTGGCTCTCGCCTTCAACCAGCTATCGGGTTTTAGATAGCAACTGCTTTCGACTCGCGTCCAACAATAAGAAAACGCAGAAGCTCAACTCTCAGTCAGTCAACCAGGATTTTATGACAACCGCCAACAAACAGCCCATGTGTAGGCAGTCCCAAAACACCTTCTCCTTCGCATCAATCTGAACAAGAACACTCCAATCAATCTATCGAGCTGAGTGATACTTCTGTCTTCGAGCAATCAAAAGGCGGGATCCATGTGTCTCGAGCCAACGGATCTGAAAGACAAGAGGAAAGATCGTTCCAGGCCACGCGGTCACCCAGTTTGCTCTTCTGATGAAATGGACGGGCAGATGGTATTGTAGCCCTCCGCGCTCGAATGTTCTACCACATATCTTCATATAACAACAGCAACCAAGATGATGTGACGTCAAAACATGCCAATTGTAACTTACCTTTTCTCTGCATCCTCTGGTCGTTCCTCCCTCATTCTTGCGACACAGCTACCCCAAACATGTCTCGTCTCAGGACATATGTCTTCCCATGTAAGGTCCAAAGGTTGGCTATAACGATGAACCCATAGACATCTATGCTTATTGCGGATTCGAGGCACGGTAGCATATTTAGAAGGTTCATATTCTCAAGCACTGTCTTTGCAATGCTGACCCATCCTTTGCACAATTACCCATCTATAGACCTCAATGCCAACCTTCCCAGACCCCAAACTCCATTAAATGTCAGCAGCAAAAGTAAAATTACATGTCCATATACTGCTCTACTTGATTCTGCCGAGCTTGATTCTGTTCATGGCAATTTCATCGTCGACGGTTTCAGTCTAGGGAAGAGTTAGCAAATACTTTCTTGTGACATGGGAAGAGATGAAGAAGCTTACCTTTCCGATGATACGGTTAATATGCTTGTTCTGCTCGTCGAGCTCATCGCCCATAGCGTTGCCCAAAGCATGCAATGTCTTCGCACTTCTGTGGATAATGTCCAAGTTCTCCTCGATCTCGCCTTCCATGGCTTCGTCTTCGCTGTCGGCTTCGAATTGGTACTTGGCTCTGTTGGCCAAAGTCGCTTTGTCGTGTGTCTTGCCAGTGTTGCGCATGGTCCTTTCTTGGCCTGCGTGGCGTGCTGTTGTAGACCAGGCGTTTGATCTTGTGTCGTCTGCGCGCTCTCTCTCTACTCTGTGCTTCTCGAGGGCAATTGCGTTGGCAGCCTCCTCGCGCTTTTTGGCGGTGAAAGGGTTGGAGACGTGCATGGCGAACATGCTTCTGTTCAGCGTCTTGAGCTCGCGGGCCTTTTCCTCGGCGAGTCTGTTTTGGTGTGATGCCATGTCGAGATTGCGCTCTGTGTTATGGATGCGCTCGCCTTGGACACCCAGACGTGCTAGGGTTTCACGACCAGTGGCTTCTGCTTGTTCGGCGATGCGGCGGGCGTTGCGGGTGGAAGATACGTCCTGCTGCTTGATGAATCTGATTTCGTCCTTGGAGGCCTTGACGTCTTCTTCCTCTTGCTCTTCGGCAGTCAGGTAGCGGTCAGGCTGACCGTAGAGTTCGCTGGAGCTGCCGCCGTAGCCGCCGGGCATGTTGCTGTTTGCGTAGCTGTTGTCGGACGAGGGTTCTTGGGCAGCTTGGTCGGCTTGGACTTGGAGTTGTTGCTGTTGTTGTCTCTGAGGGGCATCTCCGAACAGAGCGGCTCTGCCAACATCTGTGCTGACGGTCTCCTGACTGGCTCGTCGTCCAAGGCCACCATAGCCTCCAGCACCGTAGCGAGAAGCCTGTGATTGTTCGCTGCCGTATGCGTTGCTGCCATATCCACTCTGTTGTGCGTAGTTTCCAGAGCCGCCATAGCGCGGTGTGCTGCCACCATAACCACCTGGCGGTACGGGGGACTTGTCGCTCATGGCGAAGGGAGCAGAGCGGTTGTCATATGCAGGAGGTGCGGCCGAGGGTTTGGCATATGGGTCTGCAGGTTTGGCACCGTAAGGATCGGGAGTCGATTGTACGGCGTAGGGGTTTGCTGCGGGCGCTGCTGCCTTGTCCTTGCCCTTGGAGCGTGAGAACAAGGACGAGCGGGACTTTTCCTCGGCCGCCTCCTTCTCTTTCTTTCCCATTCCAAAAGGCATGATTGTGCTGTGTATTCAGGAGTCGTCTGAGGAAGAGAAAAATCACAGGATCCAGGGTGTTGGAGGGGAAGTTAGCAAGAGGGTCTGATGCCCAATACAGATGAGGCTGTTCACTGACTGTGCTCCGCCCCCGGACTTTTGCTGAAACCGCCGTTTCGTTAGTCACATCCAGAACACCATAGAGTCACTTGTCACAACAGAGCGAACAATAAGTTGAGGACAAACATGTGAAGAACGATCTGAAAAGGCTTTCGCAAGCAGCAGCTACGACTGGGTGGCTTGACTTCTTCCTATTGTACAATGATATCCCTGCTTTTCCACGCCCAAAACGTCTCGAGAAAGAGCACGTCGCAAGATTGCCAATATCTTCCAGGTATCACATTGTCGTTAGTTTACCATGCGTTAACATCAAAGTATTCCTAGAGCACGGATTAGTATGTGTGAGACATTAAGTATAGGGAAGGGCAATCACGAACCTCGCCGAAGAAGGTAACGACCACAGTGCGGTCAGCAAACTTTCTACCAGCCAGAGCACGCAGAGCCTTTGAAGCAGACTCGTTGTTGTCGTACTTGACGTAGATCTTGCCGACACCGTTGGACTGTCTGCTACCGCCAGAAGGACGGGGAACCTTCATTTCCTGTACTGAACCGTACTTGCTGCATTCTTCTTTGACGTCTTCGACGATTTCTNNGATAAGTGTTAGCCATGTCCATGAGAGTAATCGTCACTGCCCCTGCTTACCTTCGTATTCATCATTATCCAAAAGCTCCTCTGCTGTAACCATGTTCAACAGGCAAAGCACGCGACCTTGCTCAACGTCTGCACTTGTGGTACCGGCAAGCATGCTCATGGCGTTGACACTCATGTCGCCACCAACCTGCTGCACACCGACAGCGGCTCTTGCAGCTCTAAGCGCACCATCACCCAACTCAATTCCGTTCAAGCCTGTAACAGCCTCATCGGTCTTTGTGGAGTCCATGTATTCGAAGAAGGCGAATCCACGGCTTGCGCCAGAGGAAGTGTCTTTGGCAAGGACGAAAGATTTGAGCTCACCAAAGGTCGTAAGCAATTCTCTGACTTGCGCATCTTCGATGAATGTAGGGATGTTGGACATTCTAAGCTTGTTCTGAGTGTCTGGAACGTTCTCGGAAACAATGCCCTCCATCTGCTCGCTCTCGTCTGTGACAGCAGGTACAATGTAGTCCTTGGGACGGCGGATTTGCAAACCGGCGGGTCTGCCATTTGCTGAACCGTTAGCAGAGTCGTCGCTCATAGAGATGCCATCTAGGGCCAAAGCGGTTGTAGCATCCTCGGGTGTCTTGAACTCGCAGAGAGCAAAGTCGTGCTCGGGAGAGATTTGAGCGGACAGACAAGGGTCCATGCCCTTGACAATGTTGAGGCCGTTGAGTTGGAGGTTGAAGAAGTCGATGATGTTGTCCTCGGTCGAAGCAGAAGGGATACCGTGCACAAAGAGACGTTTTGACTGGCGAGCGTTTGAGGGCTTGAGAGCGGTGTTTGCGCCGGCATTAGCGGGCTGGTTCATGAAAGCCTGAAGTCTCGTAGGGTCCATGGGTTGTTGGCGAGGAGCACCAGGAAGAGGGAACATGCCCGAGAGCTTGGCCTGCTCAGCTGTGACATTTTCGTAGCCAGGGGGCTTGATGTCCCATTGTGTAAGACGACGCTTGCGTTCGAGAATGGGCACGACGTCGGTCAAGTCGGGGGTAGGCTCCTTGGGCTTTCTCGGAGGGCTGGGGCTGCGCTTCTGGTCGATGGATTGCTGAGGAGCACGTCCACCATCGCGGTCGCGGCCTCCTCTGCCACCTCCTCTGCGGTCGTCGAACAGATCACCGCCACGGTCGCCGCGCTCTCTGGCACCTCCGCGTGGGTCATCACGGCGGTCTCCTCGTCGTTCGGCGCCACGGTCTCCTCTGTCCCATTCGCGGCCACCTCCGCGCCTATCTCTTCCAGCGTATCTGTCTTCTCTTTCGCGCTCCCTGTAGTCGCGGCTCGACGAGTATGTGTCTCCTTGGAATTCGTCTCTGCGCGGGCGGTGTCCGGGTGAGCGCGAACGTCTGCGTGGCCTTTCTCTCTCGCGCTCTCTGTCTCCACCACGGTCACGGTCGCGACGGTCGTCTCTGGATGACTGNGACTTTGTTAGTTATTTGCAGAACTCGAGGCATGAACAAACATACATAGTGGTCGCGCGAGGACGCGTGTCTGCCACTGGGACGATCTGAGCATGAAAAGTTAGAAAGTTGTCGTCGAGAGCAAAGCAAGCGTATTACCGCGGCTGGAATATGAATCACCGTTCATTTTGGCGGACTGTGTAGCACAAAGTTGGCGATGACAATCCAATGAATGGTTCTGGAGGACTTGTTGTTGTTGCAAGCGATGGAATATGTGTGCTCGATGGGTCCCTTGAGCTTGCTTGCGCGCTGCCAGAGAGCCAGAGCGTCTACGCCGAAGCCAAGACGCCATGCCCAAACGGGAAACATGATTGGCTATCAACCCAGCCATGTCTACCGCGTCAAGGTCGTGACCACAGTCCAAAACTCGTTCATTCACATCAGAATCATGTTGAACCTTCAGGACTGGCAGAAGCTCCCGATCAGTCTCGGCGAACTCTGCATCAACACGACGCTCCGTTGTGGACAATGCTTCAGATGGCGCAAATCAGATGAAGGTGTCTGGTCAATGGCCCTTCACGGCCGCATCCTAGCATTACACCAGGACCCTGAATATCTCTACTACCGCTCTATCGTTCCTGCAAAACAATCACCAACCACAAAACTACAATCCGACGATGATACTCTGCCACTCATCAGACATTACCTCAACCTTGGGCCAAACCTAACCCAGCTATATAGCGAGTGGTCTTCTGCCGATGCAAACTTTAGTCGCAAAGCTCCGAAATTTACCGGTATCCGAATCCTGAAGCAAGATGCATGGGAAGCTCTTGTGGGCTTCATCTGCAGCTCAAACAACAACATCGCTCGCATATCTCAAATGGTTGAGAAGCTCTGCACAAACTATGGTCCCTTGATCGGCCAATTTGACAACAAAGACTACCATGACTTTCCCACTCCATTATCATTGGCAAGACCTGGTGTGGAGCAAAAGCTCAGAGAGCTAGGTTTTGGTTACAGAGCAAAGTACTTGTACAAGACAGCCTGTATGATTGCGGAGAAAGAGGACGGGTGGTTAGATGCTCTAAGAAACCCTGAGAGCCCTGTCCTAGGCGTGAAACCAGCACCAGCTGGGGAGTGGGCGAACGAGGGAAGAGAAGGCTACCGGAAAGCACATGAGGAACTGCTTGCACTCCAGGGTGTGGGGCCAAAGGTCGCCGACTGTGTCTGCCTCATGGGCCTAGGCTGGGGAGAAGCTGTCCCAGTCGACACACATGGTAAGTTCACCTCATCCATCCCGCACCCGAGTCTTGATTAACCAGTCTCTANNGTCTGGCAAATTGCTGTCCGTGACTACAAATTCGGCAAAGGCAAGCATTCGAGTCTTACCAAAGCCACTTATGATGCCGTGGCGAACAAGTTCCGCAGCCTTTGGGGTCAGGNNGAGGCTGGTTGGGCACATTCAGTCCTCTTCACAGCTGATCTCAAGGCATTCTCCGAAAGACTTGTGGCCAAGGCAGAAGTCAAGGAGGAGGTGACGGAGATCAAAACTGAAGATGGTGTCCCTGTTGAAGAAACCATCGTCGAAGATGACAAGACTTTGATCAAAGGAATCAAGAGAGAAGCCGAAGAGGACGAACAAAAGCTGGTCGAGACGAAACACAACATTGTCAAGAAGGCAAAGAGAAGAAAGAAGGCATCATATTGAGCACGATATATTAACACTTCATGACCACTGGTCCTGTTCGACCGCCTTCTCGGACCACCTTGATATATGAAACTCGCCTAGAGCAAGCACCCTGTCATCGAACCATCTCCTCCGCGACTTCCCATGAATGCGGCAATACGAATGATGGCACGCTTGTGAGTCCATCAAATCTCTAAAGCGAGATCTTGCGTCGTGGGATATCGTCGTCCTCAAGCAGCTCGGTGGCGTGGAAGTGGCTGGCTGGCTTCAAGTTAGCCCAAGACTAGGCATGGCGCATCATTGAGCACCCTTGGCGAGATGGAAGCCGTTCTTGTTCTGAACAGAACGTGCTGAATTATCAGGTACTACAATCAGTTTGCAGGCTTCTGGAATCGACCTTGCATCCAACAGCGGTACATTTTCAACTTTCTCTGTCTGTTGACAAGCATTCTGTTGTCAACACCCAGGTTCGTGATGTCGAATGCAGGCATCTTGTTGTCTTCTGAAATCTCGGTAGTCTGCAACTTCTCAGCAAGCTCATCTTCATCTTCATCTTGTGTGTGTTCCGAGGCGTCGATCTGGAAACTGTTCGCTGGAAGCTTGCCGGACCAAATGTCTGCGAGTTCGTCCCTTTCGAAGAAGTATACACGAGTACCGTCACCACGGATGTAGAAGTTTTCTTCGAGATAGCGACCCTTCTTGAATCGGACCTGGGCCAAGTCACCACGGCCATAATCACGGAAAAGAACCAGACCACCAGGCTTGAGGACATTCCAGACGTTCTTTACAGCCTGTGCCCATTGTCTAGGCGATAGAGCCGAGAAGATGAAGATCATGACAACCACATCAACGCTGCCGGCTTCCAGACCAGGAGGCAGAGCATTTTCACCAGTTCCCGCAGCATCCCAGACATCTGCCTGCAGAGTGGTCTGGTTTTGGTATGCGTCTTGTGTACGAATGATCTCAATGGCCTTCTTGGAATAGTCGCATGCGTGAATTTTCAACAGAGGGTTCTTGTTCAGGTTCAGGACAGGGTATGCCGTGTTTCCTGCACCAGCACCAACTTCCAACATTGTCGCAGCACCGTAATCTTCCTTGGTGATCTCTCCCAAGACGGGGAATTCTTGGGCCAGCCATTTTCTGTCCTTGAAGAAGTTTGCGCGGTTGTTGCTGTAGAACTTGTCCCACCACTTCTCAGGATGCTGGTTGAAGCGCTTCTTGTCAAAGTCGGTGACAGGAGCGGATCGTTGGAACTCTTCCTGAGTCTTGATGAACTCCTTGTATGTGTCGTCAGTCTCGACGTGGTCCCATGCGTTGTGAGCGAAGATGTTGTCGCCCTCCTCCAAGTAGCGTGTGCCGAACTGGAAAGGGTCGACGCGCTTCTGGTCGTTGTTGGCGGAATCGGTCTGAGGCTTGCGAATAGGTTGGATCGAGGCGGGTACACCATATGCTGCTGCTTCTTCTTCTTCGGCGTCGGCGGCTGAGTCGGTTTGAGGGGTCGAGGGAGCGTCAGGGACTGTGACCCACTCTCGCATGTGCTCCATGCCCTTGGAGAGCTGCTGCTTGGGAGTCTTCTTTTGTCTACGCCCTCAGGCTGAGTGTTCTGGATATCGGCCATGACTCGATGCTGTCCGGCAGTGACGGAACTCAAAGATGTCCTGTGGATTTGCGTGTGATATCTGGTGACTTGGCGGAAAAAACTTGTTGCACACGACGAGTATCTCAGCACCATCTGAACATGATCTTGTCAGTGCAAAAAGTTCAAAGTCCATGGAGCGCGAGGGGTCCGGCAGAAAGTCACCGCCTTTTGCGGGTCGGCCCGCACCCAGGTACAGGCCGACGGTCTCGATCTCTGTTCGATTCTCCGCAACCTGTCAGCGCGTCATGCAGCCAAACATTTCGTCTCGAACGAAAGTCATCTCTTAATCCCACAGCACTCTCGACAAGCATACAAGACCCTCCTTCTTCTCCAAGTGCTGCCTAGCATATCTCATCACTCTGTCTCGATCGATTGACTCGAACCAGACCCAAGATGAAGTCAATTCGTGCCACTTCTGCTCTGGCATCCCAAGTCTCGGCCACGACATGTTCACGAGCAGCACTCGCATCACGCACCACCTCGTCCACGCAGACTCGCTCCTTCTTCCCGAATCCCTTCGCAACCCAATCTCTCCAAACCTTAACCGCATCCAAAATCCTGCCCTACGACGCAAAAACTCTCTACGCAATCGTCGCCGACATTCAAAGCTACCACAAGTTCCTTCCCTTCTGCATTTCCTCAAACGTCACCAAGCAATCCTCTGCCGATGCCGAGGGAAAGACATGGCCCGAAGAAGCAGAATTGGTCGTTGGATACAAGGATGTCATGCGTGAATCCTTCTACAGTCGCGTCTACTGTGCACCGCAAGACTTCATTGTCGAGTCTGTCAGCGGAGAGACCAACACCGGCCTCCCAGCAGCAAGCATAGAACACCACAACACTCGTCCCTCTGCCGACCAAGATCCCGCTCGCAACGCCACAATCCTCACACACTTGCGCTCCCGCTGGCAATTGAGTCCCTTCCCATACAAGCCTGGTCCTCTGGGCAATGAAAGACCTCAAGAAGTCACTCCAGATATCCCCGCAAGGATGCAGACCGAGGTCAATCTGGTCATTGACTATCAATTCGCGAATCCGCTCTATACGACGTTGAGTGCTGCTGCCGCGCCAAAGGTTGCCGAGAAGATGATTGAGGCCTTTGAGATGAGGGCGAGGGAGATGTTGGATCGTCCTGCTGCTAGTGCGACGCAGAAGTCCAAGGGCACTGTCAATGGTTCCAATGTTTAATAGCTATTTCATAAGATAGAATTTGAAGGAACAGTAGAAAATTATATCAAATATAGATCTTGTAATGTACAAAACAGCGAGTTCATCTTCTGGCCTTTTTACGGTCCCCATGATGGACTACGCCTGATGGTCTGCAGAACGTGTTGGTAGGACGACGCCTCTCTAACCTTCACCTCAGCCAACTGCCCATTAACACGCCCAATGTCCCACTCGTGTTTATTAGTCTCCTCTTCCCACTCCTCCATCTCTTCCTCTGGCATGTCTTCTGGCATACTCGCCCCCGAGCCACTCACGCACCAAACAGCCTGTCTTCTCTTCACCCTAAGCCCAAGCTCTGCAGCTTGCAACCCTTGTTCCACGACACTCATGAACGTAACAGATGTATACCAAGGGTCCCCATAGCAATCATACGTATAAAACATCTTGAGCGCTCTAACCTCGGGAACCTGCGTCGAATTCCAAACATCCATAAGCCGCACTTTTTTGCTATCCAAGTCTTTGGACGGGTTCACAGGGCCCAGATTGTGTAGACCTGGACCATCACGACCAAGTCCCGAATCCCTGACATTGCAAATCTCTCGGCCTTGGTCTGGAAAAGGATTCATAAGTTTTGCGGTAGTGGGAGATTTTGGTTTTTGCTCGAGGGTGAATTTCCAGAGGTGGCTGCCGTTCCAGTCCATGGCGGTGATGATGGCATCGGAGAATTGTTCGAAGAGGAGGATGGCTGGCACGTGGAGGACGCGGGTTATGGCAACCGGCAAGTCTGGTATGAGTAACCGGATCTGGACCAGGTAAAAAGTATCTTTGGCAATACTGTTTTTGTTGTTGCTTTGGTGGATGTGAATTTGGTTGACTAGGTCTTTGGGGTTTGTGATGGGAGGTGCTGTGGTTGTGGGAGCTGGAGCTGGTCTGATTGGTGCTGGTTCGGGCTCGGGTTCGTTTTCATCATCATAGTCTTCCTCGTCTTGGTCATATTCATCCTCGGGGTCTTGATTTTCTTGATCAATTTCTTCTTATTCGTCGGAAGATATATGTGTTGTGCCTCCGGTGAGGTAGTCCTCGAATGAGGTATCCACAGCTGGTCCTCCCAAGCTGAAGCGTTGGCGTTTGGGTTTCCTTTCTGCCATTGTTTCTGCCAGCAGAAGAGCAACAGCTTCGCGCTCACGTTCGCGTCTGTGTTTACGTAGTTATAAAAAAGTAAGACGAGATCTGTTGAACTCATATATCAGGAAATGTATAGACGCGTGTCAGTATTCGAGGTTCGAAGGATTTCAGATCTAACGCGTCATGGGGAACCTCGACCTTCTTGGAACGGTTGTTATATCGAGCGTAGCTCGGCATGGAGTGCTGGACTGTCCTGCTCGATCTTCCAAAGAAGATATGTGATCATGATACGCATGGCTGGGTGTAGCTGGCCTATTAATTGCAGGGAGAGACAGGTGGTTTTAATCCGTAGGTCCCTCATGATACCCAGCTCTTCTCGAAGCATGCCACCTTTGTACTTTGAGCTCTGTGCGACTTCATCGACAACTTTCGGTCTTCTTTAGCGCTACAAAAATCTTGATTCGATATCAAAATGTCTCGATGATGGGGTGTATGCATACAAGAACGCTCATGTTGACTCCCACCTCACATGCCAAAGCCTTATACTGCCATCAGGGAACGCGATTGCGACTTTCCCTCCATCGTCACCAAACAAAACTTCGAATGCTGGAGAGTCACCTCTGACCCAACCGCTCCAAGGATCTCTTGCCCCATCTGAATGTTTAAGCGTCAACAAACAGTTCCTATCTTCGACATCCCAAACCCTAAGCTCACACTTTTCTGCACCTGTAATCAAGATTCTTCCATCAGGTGAGAAGAAAAGTGCAGAAGCTCTCCTCTCGAGGATCTTCGATGGAACCTTTTCGGCGNNATCTTCGATTGTTCTGACAACTTCGCCAGTCTTGACACACCATAGCTTTATCTGGCGGTCTGACCATGTAGCGACGAGTTTGCTATCAGGCGAGAATGTGCTCGAGAAGAGTTCGTCTACTTCATCCTTGAGGGTGCTTTGTAGTTGCCAGGTAAGTGTCTCGTATACCTGAATGACATGGTGCTCATCGATCGGGACTGCTAGATGCCCACCGCCGGGCGAGAAGAATGCATAGTATCCTCGAATCGTGCGCTCCAGCCTCCATGTTTGCGTGTTCCAGATACACACTATAGATGCATTTGGACAGCCAGAGACCAACCATTTGCCGTCCGCCGAGAACTCGACCGTGACGATTTCTGCGGGGTACTCCCTTTCCTCCATCATTGATGTGATAGACGCGGGGTGAACACCTGGATCCGAGAGTTCACGCAGCAACCCNCCAGTCTCCACATCCCAAACCCGCAAGACTTCAGATCCAGTGACAAGCACCTTGCTCTCCTTGTCAAACACCACCGACAACATTCGTTCATCCTCAACACTAACAGTATGCACCAACTGTCCCGTTCCTACACTCCAAATCCGACCATGTCCTTCATCAGAAGCAGCCGCTATCCATTTGCCATCCGGCGAAAAAGCCATGCCGAAAAACATGTCGTCCACAGGTTCGGATTTGCTTCGAAGAGATCCTGTATCGAGATCCCATAGTGTTATTGTTGAGTCGTCATTGGCTGCTAGTGTTTTTCCGTCTGGAGAGAATGATAGGCGTGCGACTTCATCGGTGTGAGCATTGAGGTTATGCACCAACGTTGCTGAAGCATGCATGATGAGAAAGAGCGACACAGCAAACAGATGATGTTTCTAGTCTGACCAGAAGGCGGCGTCGAGATTTTGAGAGCTGTGAGATGGAGGAGCAATAAAGGAGTTGACCTTTCCAACAATAGAGCAACGGCAGGAAAAGACTGCGGATCGAGTATTATACCATGTCTTGGGTGGAATCACCGCCAGTCCGCGGCATCCTTCGATGAAGTCATATTTGAGTTTTTCGAGTCACGGTTCTACTTCTGGAACGAGACACCGCAATATCAGGAAACCCTCAACTTGAAGGAAGACTTGATGTGAGTCATTGTCGGATGTGGCCCACTTCTTTCCGGTCTGGGAACTTCAATCTTGTTGTGACTATTCAGTATAATCCGCTTGGTTCAAACAGGACAAAGTCTGAAGCAAGTGTCTAGATATGACCCTACATATCTTTTTGGTTATGCATATCTGAGTGTTGAAGCCATCTTAACACTTCATGTTGATACCTTTCCTCTTCTCGCTCTCGCGAACCTCAAACATGACTTGAGCGCCGACAAACAGCGTGCCACAGACACCGAGCAAGAACACCCATCCACCAAGACTGCCCACAATATTGCCGACCATAGCCTTCAAGCCGTCAACACCAATAGCAAATCCGACAAGGTTGGCTGCCATCATCATCAAAATGTTTCCAGTAGCACCGACACCACAGATCCAGCGATAAACATCCGGACTATCCTTCCACTTCTTTGCTGGGAACAGAAGTGTGCAAATTACCTCTGGCAGAACGAATAGTGTAATGAGCCAGCCCCAGATAAGTAGCTTGAGGTTGATATCGTGCCAGAGTGCGACAAACGTAAAGACAGCGAGGAAGTTGCCAATAGCGCGCACTTTGCCCTGTCCACTGCCGCCAATGGGGATGTAAATGTATCTGACGATCCAGCGATTGAAACTTCTGTGCCAACCTCGCCAGAAGGCCAGTGCTGAGTAGTTGTCACTCATGCAACGAACCATGTTCTCGGGTGGGTCAATACCATCCACGAGTGACCACAATCGGAAGAAACGCCAGGGAATCAACAACTTCAGCCAGATGATATGAAGGTTAAAGTAACCGAGCATACTCAGTTGCATCGGTGTATAGACCTCCCAAGCTGGCTGTGCTTTGCTGATGGCCACAGCATAGAGGAAATGAAGGCAGAACTCCATGGTGAGGACGCAGACCAGAAAACGGATACCGTACATTAAGGTGCGTTTGATGTTGATGGACGCAAGCGGGTAGCGCGACTGTGAGATGTAGTCGTTGAATGTCAGTATAGGTCCTGCAAGATACAGCGGCGAGTAAAGAGCGTAAGCAAGATAGTTGCGGAAGCTAAAGTCTGCTGGCTTAGCAGGAACTGAAACTCTGTCACGCTCTGATAGGTTTGAGGGATCAAGCTGTTTCTTCTTCAGGCGGTCAGCTCGAGCTCACATAGTGAACAAAACAGGGCTGAACGCTGTGTAACATACCTCAATGGAAGACGGAGCACCCAAACTCCAATAATAATCAAGGTTGAAACTGATCAGGCGGAGCACAGTGATGTTGAAAAGAATCTCCCAGCGCGGTAAGATGCCGCCATAGCTATCAATCCAACCAGCCCATCCAGGAGTTTGGTTGCCTTTTTCCGAAGCACTGGTTTGGGACGGGAGGATAAAGGCGGCCACCCCAGCCAGGGGGTAGCCATGACACAGTTCGTTTGCAAACAAGATTCCGACGTTGAAGACCCATGTAGCAGCGGGCACATATGCTTTAGGAAGCTGGGTGGCCAACTTGAAGTTGGTGTACAAGATAAGAAGGACTTTCAACGCTGAGAATCCGTGCAGTGCAAATATGAAGATGACAGCAAACATGACATCGAAAGATATCCTGTGCTCCATTCTAGCATCTGCAGCAGCTGAAGGGCTCAGACCCTGTGTCAGTCCAGGATTTCTGTTGTTTGGGGGAACAGGTTTGGTGTATGAGTCAATGCGCCAGAAAGAGTTGTAGGCCTTGCGGAGCAATGGATGCAAGATAAGAAGGAGTGTCATGTAAGGAATATTGTCGCGGAATCCAGCATACTGAGAGTCCGAGTTGTCCNNTTGACACAAATTAGACTCGAGAATCGTCTTGAGGTGACTATCACATACAACTTTGCGGCCAGGGATCCAGCCGTCTGACAAAAGATGGGAGTAACGAGAGTAGTTGGGATGAGACTCNTGTGGAAGATATTAGCGCACTCAAGTGGTACTGTTAATGAAAAGGATCTCACCTTGAGAAACATCATACACAGCCTTCACCATGAAGACAGGAATGGTAAGGAAGCATAGATAGTAAAAGTAGAACTCTGCAGTATTCCATTTTGATGGCTGAGCTCCTGGCAAAGATTGATTCTGTGCTGGTTGAAGTACTTGTTGTGCAGGTAGTTTTGAGTGTGCTATTGAGTCTTCGGTTGTGAGTTTGTAGGGAGTCTTTGCTGATGTGGTGAAACGGGTGTCCAGAGTGTCGAGAGAGTAGAGCTTCTTTATGAAGGAGAGCCACGACATGTTGGGCCAAAACCCATGGAGATGGATGGGAGTGATTGAAGTCGGGTTTTGACTTGTGGGACTCAAAAGCACTTGATTCGTGAAATCCGAATCGATATTGAGGAAAGTCGAGGATCAGGGGTGGTATATGTGGTCGAGACCCTTGAACGCGGCGACACATGCCAAAAGCTTGGCGAGGCGCGTGTTCCCAGAGAGCTTCAATTGTCGCAACTCTTGTCCATCGCATTCTACACAGCCGAATTCCATAAAGATGAACTCATACAACGCGCCTGCACCGCAGGAGTATGCCGGAGGTAGGATGCCTCTTCCCGCAATTCGGCGACCCTCGAACACCCATTGACGCGCCACAGATGAGATCAATGCTCTGGTCCTCGACCCCGGTTCGTTTACCACTCGCGCCGGCTTTGCTGGAGAAGACACGCCCAAGTCTGTGATCCCCTCCGTCTATGGATCCATTGCTGGCGCCGATGCCGACTCAAAATCGCGTTACCTCTTTGGAGAAAATGCCATTCACAACCCCCAATCGCACATGGAGATCCGTAGTCCCTACGATTCAGACGGCATCGTCGAGGACTGGGATGCTGCTGCAAGGCTGTGGGAATATAGCATCACCTCACGCTTGACCGGTGCCCGACCAACATCCGCTGCCAAGAATGGCCTCAACGACGACAAGAAAGAAGGAGAGGAAGCTGGAGACGGCGACGGCGATGTTGCTATGGAGGGCATCGAGGAGCAAGAGAAACCAATGAGCGAACACCCACTGCTCATGTCAGAGCCTGCTTGGAACCCTGCAAAACATCGCGCAAAGTGCATGGAGATTGCTCTCGAAGACTGGGGTGCTCCTGCCTTCTGGCTAGGCAAGACTGGTGTTCTGGCAGCGTACGTCCATGCGTGCCTAGAGAGACAGAGTACGCGTTGCTGACTTTGTTGTAGATTCGCTTCGGGCAAGCCTAACGCTCTTGTCATCGACATTGGAGCCAGCACGACCTCGGTCACTCCTGTGCATGATGGCTTCGTCCTAAAGAAAGGTAGGATTGCATGTTCTTGTTTACATCTGCCTGTTGTTTTCATGACGAAACATTTCAACCATCTTACGACGGTCAACGTAGCCACAAGTTGGACTTTGACGCAAACGTCTGGAACAAGGTCTCACAACGGCTATCGCAAACTCACCCATCTAATCCACGTTGAATGTCTTCTAGATTGTCGCTGACTTTCTCGATATAGGCATACAAAAATCATCACTGGGCGGCAACTTTGTTTCAGAGCAATTGCGCATGCAGTTCTCCAAGATGGATCCTGTGGTCTCCCTAACGCCTCACTACATGGTCAAGTCCAAGTCACCTGTCGATGCTGGTCAAGCTCCCAACGCTTCATACATCAAGTTTGACGTCCCACCGACAGACTCATTCAGGAAGAACGAAGAAGAGCGCATCTTCACATCTTTCAAGGAGAGCATGGTGCAAGTATGGCAAGGTCCTGGTAAACTCGATTTGACAGATGGCATGGGCAATCACGTCAACGTCGATACCGTCAAGAGCCTGCCTCCACGACCATTCGAGATGCCAGACGGCTGGAACCAGGTCTTTGGCATCGAACGCTTCCGAGTCGCCGAAGGACTGTTCGACGCCAAGGCAGCACTCACCGATGACAGCCACCCCACGCCTGACCAAAAGCACACCATCACGTCAATGGTTCAGGCTGCTCTGTCTGCTGTGGATGTCGAAATCAGACCAACGCTGCTGAACAACATTGTCCTCACTGGAGGTGGCAGTCTGCTCGATAAGCTCGCAGAACGTCTCCACGGCGAGCTCTCGGCACTATACCCTAATCCTCGTGTGAGAGTACATGCTAGCAATATTGTGACTGACAGGAAGTACGGATCATGGGTTGGAGGTAGCATTCTTGCGAGTCTGGGCACTTTCCACCAGGTAAGCTTTTGTCTCAGCCTATGCTGCGCGACAAGATACTGACCGAGACAGATGTGGATTTCCAAGAAGGAATACGAGGAACATGGTTCTAGCATCATCGAGAAGCGATGCAAATAATGAGACATGGGAGATGGGCGAAAGGCGTTCTCAGGCACATACCATAGCAAGTCAAAAGGGGGTCATGTTAGTGAGACCAGGAGATACCAGATGGATAGAGAAGCCAACAAATATCATATTCAACTACCACTACACTGTCGGATACTCATGGTGTGACCATTAACTCAGCAAGTATTGACGAGGCGACACGACTCATATACCATTCACGCCAAGACGCGGGTGAGTCGCTAGCGCGAGTTGGTTGCGCGACAGGCAAGCACGCAGCAAAGCTCAAGTGATGGTCAAATAACTTTTGTTTGTCACTTCAACACATCCTCTCGCACAAGCGTAGAAACGCTGTTATTCGACTTCCTCTAGCTTCAGTATCCAATCTTCACTACAACCAGCATCATAATCGAAGGATCTCATACACACCATAACCCTATGCGCATCGCGCGCGCGCAATTCCACACAGGCTAGAGCTCGCTCCGACACATCATACGCCATGTCCTGGGGATTAGAAAACGCAGGCCCTCAGGTCAACGCCCTGGAAGAGACTCCGGAAACATTCCAGGAATCTATCGGCTTCAAGACGATTGGAGGAGAATCAAAAGTCCGCCTGTCGCAGGCCTGGCCAGCAGACAAACAACCTCCTGCCTGGGCTTCCCTCTTGTCCATTGCATCCACAAAGGGACTCATCGCCGCCGGAACCTCCGAATCCGTCATACTAGTGTCGTCTGACACTGTGCGAAAGACTTACTGGGAAGCCAGCGCCGAGACGAAGACCAAGGATGTCAACCCCCAGCTATCCCTCTCAGTTCCGCAAGTTTCGCATGTCGCCTTTTCAGCCGATGAGAGCTCGCTGGTCATCGCTGCACAAGAAGGAGGAGGTCTGGCTGTATACGAAGTCCAATCACTGCTTCAGGGAAACAAGGATTCGGCCTTTCAACTGGCGACCAACGGCATATCAGTCCGCGCACTCGTACCAAACCCGAGTCCTGAAAACGCCCACCTCTTTGCTGTCGTCTTGACTGATGGCAAACTCATGATTGCCGACTTTAAGCAACGCTCATTTGGCAACGTGTTTCGCGAGGGTGTCAAATGTGTTTCTTGGAGTGTCAAGGGCAAGCAGCTTATCGCTGGTCTGGAAGATGGAAGTGCTCAGCAGTTTGATCCCCAAGGCAACGTCAAGGCTCAACTTCCGGCACCACCCCAGCTCAGTCAACCTACACCTTTGACGGCCATAGTCTGGATCGCGAACGATGACTTCTTGGTCGTCCATACCCCCAACTCTGAGGACGAATCGAAAGAGTCGTCCTATCACCTGTTGCATCGTGAAAAGTCCTCCGGTTCCTTCACTTCACAAGCCCTTTCTGGAGATCCGTGCATACCAGGTTACGAGAACAAGCCTTCGCACTTCCTTGTGTCCAGACTGAGAAAATTCCCACCAAGCTTGGAGGACATGCTGATCCTATGTTCCTCTGTTGGCAGTGAGGTGGGCATCATCACCAACTCTTCACAACCTCTGGCGAGTGGCGCACCTGCCAATACCTACACTGTTACCAGCATGGAACGCGACTCGGCTCGTGCAACATTTCCTATGAGCATGATGGATGAAATGTCAGACACATCTGCCGTCGGTATGGACGTCGACCTTTCTTCGACGGACAGAGTTATGCAGCCCATTCCAGGAGACGATCTTGAATCAACAGGCCCTCTGCCAGCACTCATGGTCTTGAACAACGAAGGTTTCCTCTGTACTTGGTGGATAGTATACAAGGAGGCTGTTGTCCAAGGACTTTCTTACCCTGGTCTTTCATCAGTGGCATCTACACAGTCACAGCCTGTACCTCCTACTCCTGCTACACCTGCCACGCCGACTGTGACAGGTTTTGCAGCATTTGGTAAACCTGCTTTCGGACAAGCAGCGAAACCCGCATTTGGACAAGCGTCCACACCAGCCTTCGGAAAAGCATCTACGCCAACTTTTGGACAAGCTACCACACCGGCCTTTGGAAAATCATCTGCACCTGCATTTGGTAAACCATCTACACCAGCTTTCGGACAACCGTCCCAGCCTGCATTTGGCGCACCCGGTGTGCCCGGTATGGGGGCCTCCAGCGCTCTCGGAAACAAAGCTTCACCATGGGGCCAACCTGCTACTCAGTCCACCATTGCGACCCCACCAAAGGGTCAAGTATTTGGTTCTGCTTTGGGCGGCACCAGCGGCAATGCAACCTTTGGATCGTCGAGTGGCCTGGGTAATAAAGCACCCATTTGGGCAACCTCAACTGATTCTCAATCTGCTTTCAGCAAGCCTTCAGAACCTGGTGCGTCTGGCTTCGCAAAGTTCACCACACCGGCCAAGGACGAAAATAAGCCGTCTGTGTCTCCATTTGCTGCCTTCGGCAATAAAGATCAGAACAAACCTACCAACTCCTCCCCATTCGCAGCATTCGCTACTGCACCCAGCAAACCCTCGCCACTTTCCTTCGGCTTTGGCAAGCCAAGTACAGCTGCTGCGATCCCCGAGAAGGCTGCAGAGGACACCAAGGAGGAGACTATGGAAGATGAAACTGAACAGAAACCTCAGGAGGAGCCTGCCAAGGAGATCCCTTCAGCCAACGCTGTCGAAGCTCCTAAGGCCTCAACCACCACATTTGGACAACAGTCAGAGAAGCCATCCGAGAAGCCGCAGTCATCTGTGTTCGGACAGACATCCGACAAGCCAAAGACCTCATCGTTATTCGGACAGACGCCAGACAAGCCCAAAACTACAAACCTGTTCGGACAGTCCACTGACAGTTCAAAATCTCCTTCGGTATTTGGGCAGCCTGCCAAGCAGACTGGATTCCAGTTTGGTAAGCCATCTGGAAAACCCACTTCTCCGCTCAGCAGAGACTCTTCGCCAGACAAACCTTCCAAACTGCCTACATTGGGTGGATTCAAACTTGGTTCGAGTTTCCAAGGAGATGGAAGTGCAAAAGACGACTTGCCTGCTCCCAAGCAAGGTGGAGGATCTTTGTTCGGGGCCAGCTTCAGTAATATGCTTGGTGAAGCGAGCAAGCAGACCAAAGCACCCACAGCCATCAAGAAAGAGCCTGGCACCGAAGCGCCAAAGTTGGGTGACATTCCATCTCGGGAAGAGCCTGCTGTTGAGGCTGAAGAGGCTCCTCTGCCTCCCGATTTCACATCCTCGAAGCCCAAGCAGTCTGTGGAAGACGATGTTCCTCCCATTGCAGGCAGTCCTCCCGTCGATCTTGGCGGCGATGGTGGTCAGCTTCCGGCAAGTGACGATGAGGAAGACGATGATGAAGAAGACGGTTCTTGGGTCCAAGACGATGGTGAAGAATCTGAGGGAGATGAAGAAGAAGGTGAATCAGGAGACGAAGAAGAGTACGAAGAAGAGGACGAGGAAGACGAAGATGAGAGTGAAGCCGAAGAGCCAGAGAACACATTCGACATCGAGAAGGCCTCCAAGACTCCCTTTGGTTCCCGTCTTAGCTTCCCTTCTCTTTCCCACTCAACAGGCGACGCCGGCAAGCTGCTAAGACCAACCTCTCCGGTGCCGTCCACCACCCCTGCTGGCTTGCCCAAGGGTCCTTTCTTTGCACCACCGTCAAAGTCACAAGACTCACCACGCTCGCCCTCACCCATCAGACAACCATCAAGCACCCCAGCAGGCCTTCCAGCATCACGACAACACTCACAACCGATCACTGTGCCTTCGCTGAAGGGACCGTTTAAGAGCTCTAAATCGTCTTCTAAACCTACACCACAAGTTCCCGAGGCTGGAGAGCTCAGTGACGAGGAGGACGTTCGTGTCCGTGAGCTACTCGCATCTGAGATTGAGTCATCTATGGATCTTGAGCCATTCGTCGCCCATCAAGATTAC